TCAACTTGAAGGGTGAGGATCGAGAGGTGCTTGCAAGTAGCGGATCATTGGGAGCTTACTCCCCGGGTCAAGATCACTAGTACTTATCGAGTTTGTAACTGGTCAATTTGGGGACAGTAGGCTGACTAGTGACTTGGGAAGCGAAAGTGGTCAGCGGTCCCAAGACGTAACGCAAGTTCATAGGAAGGGCTGAGAAAAATGTTTTCTGAAGAGTTTTTGGGGACATGATCTTAAAAACCTGTGTCTAAAAAGTTAACAAAATGTTCACAAGTAGGCAATCAACATGTGTTAAGTAATTTGCTGCATTCAATATAATCAACTGACAACAAACACTACTTCCCTTCTACTTTGTAGACACCCTCACTATCATGTGATTTTTTTCTACGCATATAGAAGCAAAATGTTGGTTGACCACTTTTGAGGTGGACAAGATACTTTTTACAATAATGCGTCTACAATCTACCTCCGAACTAGCCATAATTAAATAACCTTTGAAAAGCGAGGGAGCACTGAACAGTTTCTTCATTCTAGTGTAATTCCCTTTAAAACTGCTCATCCACGAACCCATCAGATATGGGATCTATAAATTTCAGGTCTCACTGTGAATACCTAGCTCAGACTGGTAATCATTATTTAATTTTTTTTTCTTAGCATTCTAATAACGTTCATCCAGTATGTTAACTTCGATTATAAGTGTGTTAACTGGTTATGGAATCATTCTTTTTCTTTATTCGTAACCAAAACATCATCTCTTCACTGTTTAGTATAACAGAAAAATTCCAAGAAATACAAATTTGTCATTTAGAATCCTATTTTTTTCTTATTACAAGTTCCTAGTTCCATCTTATCTTTATTAATGAAGTATAATAAATATTCATATATAGTTATATTATTACTACTACTACTACTTATAACTCCATTCTACTTGAAGGTGATATGAAACCTCTAAATAAAATAATAAATTCTTTTTATTTCACATATTTCATTGCTCTTTCCTGAAAAAAAAACATTCTTTTTAAAATGAAATAATCATAGCTAAATAATCTTACTAATAAATTTGAAATATAAACAACTCCGTTTTTATTCAACATTCAGTCATAATTCAAAACCACTATTCAGTTCAAGTATAAATACGTGAACAAAGCATACATGTTGAGTGTAAATTATTTCTATTCCAAGGCTTAATGTTTATGATTGAGATCATGAACCAATTGATGTTAGACCATCGTTGGAAACTTGGAAGCACTGGACGGTCGTTTCGTCTTATTGTGGGACTCCTCAGCAGTGCGCATCCACGATCCCGCTTTCAAGATTCAAAGCCGGGGCCTTCAGTCTCGCGCGCGAACGCTTAACCTACTAGTCCACTGAGCCGGCATCCAATTGTGTTAGTGTCTAACATCAACCAATTCACGAAACTGCGCGACCATCTTCCACTGTACTAAGGTAGATACCTGTCTGTACCTGACACAGGCCCTGGGTTCAAATCCCGCAAGCGGTATCGTGGCTGCGCACTGCTGAGGAGTTCAACAATAGGACGAAACGGCCATCTAGTTCTTCCAGGTTTCCATCGGTGGTCTAACATCAATCGGGTTATGATCCCAATCAAAAACTTAATAACCTTCACAACCCGTATAGAGGTTGATGTTTATTTTATTTTATTACATTATTTTTTTTATTTACAATATATCACCCTAATTTTTGGATAAATAAAATAATGTGAAATGAATTGAACAAGAAAACAAAAAGAGAAAGAAAAAAGAAGAAAACTGATCTAATAACAGAATATTGTGTGCAATATACCGTGAATGATTTGTCAATGTTTCATTTTAGAAAAAAAAGAAAATCTTTCTCCCCCCCCCTTACTGTATTTTCAAGCTTTTCTTCCACTAACCTCTTCAAGAAAGTTGATGTTTATTATTTTTTATTTTCTAGTTGTTTACTTTGTATCATACCATATTCATTTCATTTTTCAACTACATAAAGTAAGGTATATATACATATAATTACAACACACACACACACACATGCATTATTAGCAAATTAACATAGATGTATATGTATATTTATTTTTCTAGTTTGCTTAACTAAATACTACCAATAACATTAGGACTAAATAAGATACCATTTCAAAACTGACACCAGGATAATGTGTAAGGGTTAAGTTAAAACTCGACTTGGTTTTGACATAATCTAGTAAAGAACATTGTGTGTGTGTGTTTTTTTTAAAAAAGGCAACCTTTATATTATTATTTTTCTTTTGTATGTATATTCATGGTTCGTTTATTTATCATTTTTGTTCCAGAATATTCGTTCAGTCTTTTTTCGTTGTTGTTGTATTTTTGCACTTTATATCATGATTCCTGGACAACACATGAATAGACATATAGTAATAATAATAATAATAATAATAATAATAATAATAATAATAATAATGAAACGTTTCCTTTTTTAAACAATCAAATTTTATTTTCAATGGTTAAAATCATGAGTCAGTTGAAGCTTTCAGGTTTTCCATGGTGGTCTAGCTTCAACTGACTTGTTATGGATGCAGAATGATATACCAATCATTATCATGTTAAGTCTAATGATGTCCTTGGACCTTAAATGGACATTCCCTATTGGCCGTTACTTATTTCACTCGTTAAATATTGTATAGATGTTGTTTTCTATTTTTATGGTACGATGTGGTCTGTTTGGTTGGTATATAAACAGAGTATGTTTGAAATATAACGATTCATAACTCAGAGGCTGTGACTTGCGTTCTAGACTCAACTGACTGGGCTAGACAGGGAAGCGAGGCCAATCGGGACTCTAGGTCGTCCTTACGTGTTTTATGTGCCACTGAGTTGATCGATAAAGCGCTGCTTATCAAACCTGCAGTCACCCGTTACAACATGACTCATGATCTTAACCACTGAAATTACTACAATATCCACAAAACCCATCTGATATTAATCAACATTCGCTCACTAGTGACTGGCTTCCCGAGGTATATCCTGTAGTTCTAGTGACAAGTAGTGACCAGTGGAGTTCAACCAGGTGTGTTGTGAGATAGTAATTCACTGAAGACAGTGGTGAATTTGTCGCTGAATTTCTTGGATTAGTTGAAGTTAGACATCAACACCGTTGGATGCTGACCAGTTCAGTGGTCTAATGGTTAAGCTCTAAGGTGCGAGCCTCGCGAGGCGAGGTCGTGGATGCGCACTGCTGAGGAGTCCCTTAATAGGACGAAACGGCCGTCCAGTGCTTCCAGGTTTTCCATGGTGATCTAGCTTCAACTGACTCATGATCTTAACCATTGAAATTACTATAATATTCACAAAACCCATCTGATATTATTTAAATTTTGTTAAAACGTTTACTAATAATGATATAATCATCAAAGCCTTTGAACAATTTAGTACCCATCTGAATGTGATAATTCAGTGGATAATCGATTGGCATTTTACATTGAAAGATACTGAATTGATGTGTTAATTTTGATGTCAACATAATACAGTGCATATATATCCGGCTGACAAGTCTTAGATATAACTAAATGAGATTGTTAGATTTCACTGATATCTACAATCCGTTTATTTTGTGAATCTTTGTGATGTTGAGATAATGTTTTATATACGTAATTTGTGATTTATGTAATTTATGTACTGCCTGGATTCTTTATTGGACTGACTTGTAAATATGTCAGTAATTCACTGGTTGATCTTCAAGAGATAATCTCAAATACCTCTTCAGTCTTATTTTAAAAGTGCTAAGTTAATGAAGTGAAAATCTAAATTGTAATTTATCTACAGGTATTTTTGTCATTTAATAACCAATTTACTTTGTCGAGTCTTTGTAAGGTCTAATGAAACAATCTGTTAGCTTGACCAAGTTCAGTATAACGAGAAGTCAGCTGCCTAGCCAACTATCCTAATTTATCACTATATATTTCATTTTAATTTAAGTGTTCATTGAGAGTTATTGAATCCATAAAATTTATTTTGTTATTGTTGGGAACTACGACGGAGCCTCCAGAGGCCTTAAAGTAGTCGAAGAGCTTCCATCCAGTCAGAACATGATGGGGCTTTCTAGAATATCAATGTGGCATGCTACTATCGGACAGCAGCATAACGCGCCTCTCTGTGGACTGGCTGAATTATAATGTTGATATAACAAACACTAATATATGTGTATAAATACCCATGATTTTCTGTTCATTTTGATTCTTACCCAACAAACACTTCACCAGATTTTTCTGTCTTTCGATTTGCGACTGTACGGTTCTATACGTTCTATATTCTGCGGTAATCAAGTAGCGAACATAACAGTTATTATCTCAGATTATAAATTTCTTGAGTAATTTTAAGCGTAATGAGATTACTTTTTTCACTAAAACTTAAACCTAGAGATGAATATAACCAAAACTGTGGTGGATAGATTAACACTTTTTTTAGAATTATCTCCTCGATAGATTGCATAATCCTTTTGGACAAAAAATGTATTAGCACACCAAATCAATTCCAAGACATGAAACTTTGTCTCACAACATTTATATTGTTCACTCATAGATTGAAAATAATAATAAAACAGGTTGTTGATAATCATGATAGAATTCTGATCAATCTTTGTTGAGATATGTGAATCCTTTGTGAATTGCCTCCATATATATATTTTTTACCATAAATTATTTTACAATAAATGAATTGTGATTAATGGTAGAATTCATTACTATTGTTTCGTCAAGTTCAAGACTCTTAAGCGGAAAGGAACTTCATCTTACAATTGATATTTACACCAGAACTAGAACCTAGCACCTTTTGGTTTAAACAGCCGATGTTTAGCTGACGCGACCTAAATAAGACAAGACATATATCCTGGATTCAACTACTAGCCACAATGTATTTAAATCTATGTTAATAATAATATTTTTACGTGTAACGGTTTTAATATTTCATCTAAGATCAAAATATAATAATAAAACTTATTCTTAATTTGTTTTTCATTTGTATACACTTTAGATCTTATATGAAGTTGTTTCACATTCTACAATCTGTTTAATGACACATGAAAGACAACAAACATTATGCTTGATTCAAATGTTCTTACGTGATGTTAATGAACAAGAAAAACAAAATAAACAATCTGTTGTACATTTGCAAGAATTCTCGTCAAAAGATTGGGCATTAGATAAAGTATGTTATACATATATGTTTTCTTATTTTACATTGACTCGTAATAAAAACATATTTTAGGCTTATAATTATTACTAGTATGGAGAGTTTGTGAAAATCTTTTAATTTTATTGTTTGGACGTTGGAATGATTTAAGTTAGACAACCATTGAAGTCCAGAAAACCTGGATAACTGATTTCTTCTGGTGTTGGACTCCTCAACTGTGTTCATCAACTATACCAATGAGGATCGAACTTAGGATCTTCGGTCTTGGAATGTTCTAGTGGTGATTTGTGATTAGGGCAGTGCAATCATGTCTACTGTGAGACAGTTGCCCATTTCACGCAATGTAAGATGGTTTCACAGTAGTGAGAATTAATTAAAGTACATGCACACCAGTGGACGGCTTCTCATTAGTCTCAGTGTTAATCAAAATTTAGAGGTTTCAAACTTGATCCCTGATGATATGGTTGGTGTTCACTGACGAGGAGTTAAAAACCAGGAGAAAATATTTACCCGATTCTTCTTGACTTTCCATTGGTTGTCTAACGAACATCAGGTGTTATATAACTAGAAATTATATGTTAATCAATATATTCCGTTAACTTGATACTAGTGCTCCCGAAACTTTTGCTGAAAATGGTTTGCTACTGATAAGCTATCGAGTAGTCAAAATAATATTACTAGAGTTTTGAGTATATTTTGAGTAGTACTTAAGCAACGAACATTTTCATAGAATCTGTTAGCTGACGTTTAATAGTAATCGTGAAAAGAGGTAGAAAACAATCAACAGATTATAATTTATTTTACTATTCGCTGGTAATGAAAAATCTATGATGAGGCCTTTCTTTTATATGCAATGAATATCAATCAGTTATTGATGGCTTGAATAGTGAAAGAATACACCTTCTAGTAAGCTTTGATGATCGTACAACGAATGATGGTTTGTTACAGAAGAGGATGGCAAATGAGTAACGATGGGTTTAAAACCTAAAAAAAATACAAAATTAGATCAACTTATGTGATTTTCCATCATTTTAAATAATCAGCCACTAATTTTAACCATCCAGATCTTCGCAATTAGATTATTTACATTTCATTACCAGACTAAGACCAAAAAACTGTTAATTTAATATATAGTAACCATGTTTTAGGACGATTAGCCAGGTTTTTCTCCTGAAATGGCCTTATTCTGCTCAACTCCATAATTTAAGGAATACATTTTCGAACACACCATTATACATCCCTTGGACTCTGTGGTTGAATTGTACACAATAAATCATTTGCTCTCCGAAACGTTATGACTTGACAAAGTGTTGATACTGCCACTTCATTATGGCTGTGGTAAAAACTGTTATTTGCTATTTATTCAGTGGAATAAGACTGATTTGGCTTGTTGTAAAAAAAGAACGTAAGACTAAATAATGATTTCTTTACTCACTGAACACTGATTTCACCAGTGATATAAATAACATCAGTGTATATTGAAATGTATGTCATTTTAAACGTCTAGGCAATAAATGAATTTGAATGTAATAAGCTATCAGTCACTAGCATTGTCTGATTTATAATATAATTTATGTGTATAATAGTATCACGATACATTTTCAATAGAGTGTTGTTGAGCTCAATGAAAGATTTAATATAAGCCTAACTTCGATATAAACAGACCGGATTCCGTAAAACCAGTCGTGCACAGATCGAATCGCTACACTTTGTATCACTGTTGAATGATCACTTGAAAGAACCCTTCACTGTACACCAAAATTATTGACTATGATAGAGCATTTGACAGAGTGGATAGAAGAACACTATGGAACCTTCATCGACACTATGGTGTTCCTGAGGAAATCGTCAGCGTTAAACGGAATTCATACAATGAACTACACTGCAAAGTCGTGTATGGAGGACAGCTGATAGATGCGTTCTAAATGAGGACCGGTGTCAGACGATGCTTTTTACTCTCTCCCTTTCTCTTTCTTCTGGTGGTAGACTGGATTATGAAGACCTCCACATCTGATGGGAAGCACAGAAAGCAATGAACCGCTTTCATGCAACTAGACGATTTAGACTTGATGACCTGGCTCTTCTAACACATACCCACCAACAAATTCAGGAAAAGACAGCCAGTGTAGCAGCAAACTCTGAAACACCAGGTCTCATCGTACACAAGAGAAAAAGTGGGATCCGGAAATTCAATACATAGAACACCAAACCAATCACACTTGATGTACAGGCTCTGAAAGTAGTGGGAAGTTTTACGTACTTAATGAGTATCATCTACAAACAAGGACGATCTGATGAAGATGTAAGTGCAAGGATAGCATCCCTACAGTCGAAGAACATATAGAACTCAAAACAACTGTCAACCAACATCGAAGTTATAATCTTCAATACGAATGTCAAGTCAGTTACTTCTATTGTATGGAGGTGAAACTTGAATAACTACCACAACCATCATCAAAAGGATTCAAGTATTTAATAACAGTTGTCTACGCAAATACTGAATATCCGTTGACTAAATACCATCATTAACAGCCTACTGTGAGAGAGAACAAACAAACTTCCAGATGAAGAGGAAATTAGAAAAAGACGATGGAAGTGGTGGGTGGGATATATGTTGAGGAAATCATCAAACTGCATGGTGAGGCAAGCGCTAACTTGAAATCCTGAAGGGAAGAGGAAAAGGGGAAGAGCATGTAACACATTACATCGGGAATCGGAGCCAGATATCAAAGGAATAAATAGCAACTAGGAACAACTAGAAAGGAATTCCCAGTACAGGGTTCAATGGAGAATGCTGATGAGCGGCCTATGCTCCTCCATGAACAATAACATGCGTAAGTAAATACAGAACCGAGAATTAACGATTTTTAAATCATATTTTATTTCAACAAAAATAGCTTCATCGAAATTACCCATGATTGTTTTTAACTTATCCATTTATTAAGGTATTTTACGGGACTAATTACTTTCCTAAACAATTATATTCAATAAATGATCAACATGAATTATATGAATTATACAATCCTCAATGTCAATTTGAATTCATGAATAATTCAAAAGATATAACTGATCAACAAAATTCTACAATTTCTAACTCATTCCAATCAAATATTGATTTGAAACATGTAAACAAAGTGGAAAACACTTTGAATGTTGAAGATGAAAATAATGATAATAATGATGCACAAAGTCACAACAACAACAACAACAACAATGACACTGATGACAATGACAATGATCATACACAATTTACAAATGAATCACAAACTGATGTAAACTATAATAATAACAATAATTACATTGAGAAATCTATGGAAAATAATAATCACTTACAAAAGACTGTTGACAATTCAATTTATATAAAGAAAACAATGAATGATAATGAAAATATACAGAACATTTCACAAATTCACAATAAAATGACATATTCAAATCAGAAACTATTATGTATGAATAATTGTGCATTATGTAATCATCATATTCATTCTCAACTCTGTCATAATCATTATCCTCATCAACATGATAATAATAATTATTATTATCATAATCCGTACTGTTATCATTATCATCATCATCATCATTCTTGTCAATTTAATAATGAATTATATTACATACCACAAATTGTCACCTATTTTCCTGCTAATGAATATCTATTTCCATTATCTACAAATAAGAATCAAGCATTTTATTCAATGCCACATAATAACATTCCAGATCATAATAATGATACTACTTGTAATACTACTATTAATACTACTACTGCTACTTCTACCATTACAAATAATGGTAATCATCCAACAATAAATATTCTATCCAATAAACTTCCACATTATCATGCAAAAATACTTCTACCACAGGATAATAGTGTAGAAGCAACAAATAATGGCAATATACGATATTATGTCGGTGTACCATGCTCTTATCCATCGAATATAATCTCTTCGAAATATTCTTCAAATAATATTAATAATAATGTTAATAATATTAATAATAATAATACTGTACAAACAAGAGATGATATATTAACCTATTGTGGTGAACCATTTATTTATTATACACCAGATCAAAATTATTATATTTATTCCACACCAACATCAATATCAACATCAACTATTACTTCATCTATACAAGAAAATATTCCTATATTGTAAAATTATTTATTAAATTTTCATCAAATTTATGCCATTCATAACTTGATTGATTTATACACAAAAATCTATCTGTATGCATTTTTCTTTATAAATGTGAATAAATGATTGAGAAAGAGAAGGAGAGAGAGAGAGAGAGGGGAGAGCGAAAGAGAGAGTAAGAGAGGGAGGTAGGAAGTGGGGGAAATAAATGTCTAAAAATTTAAGATACAATCAGGCAGCAGTATTTTAAAATTTACATTTTCACAAAATTAATTTATTTATTTTAGGTTTTTCCATATAAAAGGAAAAAAACAAAAAGAAAAACGGAAAAAAATATTCGACATTATTTTCAATTCAACTCATATACATATATAGATACTGAAAAAAAAGAAAAGAAAGAAAAAAAAGAAAGAAGAAGAAGAATTAGATACTCACTACGTTTTATTCATTATTCATGTTGTATAATTGAGATATTTATAAATTGAACTATAACTTTGTTTATTATTGTCCATAATTTTTGTGATTGTCCTCTATTTATTTATTTATTTATTTATTTATTTATTTGATTTTCTTTTTGTATACCTGAAATTATTTTATTGTATGTTTGTTAACATTCTATTGTTTTTTTTTGTTCTCTCTTTCCTAAAATTCTATGTCAACATGAGTTTATGTTGTGTTTTGTATTGTTGCTATGTCTTGTAATTTTAGATATGAAGAAATTGATAATGAATTATTATGTTGTGTGTGTGTTCTCTAATTTGTCATTTATTTCTATGGTTTATTATTAAAAAAAAAATAAAATTGATTTTTTCACCAATTGAGTAATAAACACTGTCGTTATACGAAAAAAAAATATCTTGGTGTTGAATGAATTCTATCGATTGAATTTACAATATAACTCATAAGCGTATAATTTAAAATCAGGTTGTATTTCTTTTCTCTGTTTGTAAGATCAAGTGATCGAAAACAATCATGGAAGATCGTTGATAAACAAGATTTTATACTGCTTATCATTTGCATGTTTCCGAATAGAAGTATTCTGATTTATTGTAATGGAACATATTCATTGGTATCCATTATTACTTACTATAGTAATCCTTATTTGTTCGATAAGCAAATGTAAATAACTTTTGAATAAAATATCAGTGAACTGATCGTTATAGTTGCTATTATTATTTGAAATGCTTAGTATAAATGTCTGTCGTCCGTATTATTATCAAGTATCTATTCTGTTTATCTATCTTTCGTTATTTATGCAGAAGACCACCTCCATATTATCTGTTTGATGACTTAATAGTCCTGCCTCATTTATCTCTCTGAGTGACTCTATTCATTGTATACTCATAATTATTGTAGAATGATATATTAAGTGTACATAGGTCATCTGAGAACAAAATTTAGAGAAAATAAAATCACCGCCTTTAGATTCTGATCTGATTTCTTAGACTAGACACATAATTTACTTAAGAGTTCCTCTTATGTATGAATAGTGAGGATTCGATAACGTTGATAATGTAATATGATAGGACCAAACATTACATTTCAAGAGGATACTGCCAATCATGCTCGAAAATGAACAAGAGGATCTAAAAATTAATGAAAGTATGTAAATTATTTTCAGACAATATTGATTCGCACAAACAAAATCTGAAAATTTACAATCATTAAAAGTGTAAAAATACCTTCGGTGATGCAAGTCACAAAAACACTAAAAATCATTGTTTTATCCTTCAAAAACTTGAAAAGGTAAAACATCGATTAATAACGAAATAAGCAATTTACGAAAACAGTTAGAATAGTCCTCCACGACAACATAGGAATCTGCAGGAAATTTAATCCTTTTCTCATTATGAACGTATTTTATAGCTTCCAAACTTTCATCACTAAAATATTTGAACTCATTTTTCTTCTACTTTCCAACGTATAGTGTGTAGGATAGGGCATGGCTCAGGTTCCTTCTACAGCGTAATTTATGACACTGAAAACTTTGGAAAAGTAAAAGATACGTAGATCTACATCAATCCAAGCTAAGAAAGAGATATTTCGACAAATTAATCAATCATCCTACTCATGTGGGCTTGAGAAATAATAATATCCGTTGCATCACCAATGTCACCGGTTCATTAGAACAGTTAATCTTGCGTACCTATATCGTTCAACGCTCAGATTTTTACCGTAGTTGAATAGAGAGACAATATTGGAGTGATACAATAGGGATTATACATTTGATTAAATACGGCCTTATTTTTCCTGAACAATGTAATATTTAATCTGTTGATAGAATTTTCTATTGTTTAAAAAATGCCTAAGGAATAACCGCTTTCGAAAAAATTTATTAAGAAACATGGAAAAAGTAAAGACGAAAGGTCTAAAGTGCTGTGAACGGGGAAATAAGAAGCCCAGACAACTACGAAAGCTATTTTCTTGGGACGTTATTTCATTTCATTCAAACCTTGTAAAACACTTATATTTATTTTTGTCCCTATTTTATTCTACATAACATGAGCTTTCGTTCTATGTAACATTCACTGCCGTACACTTTTTTGTTCCAAAAATATCGTAATTTAAACATAATATTTTGCATCTTATTTTTTACAATATTTCCCAGTTTCGGGCATAATTGTATTTTTCCAAATTATCGTATGTTGTGGTCAGGATATTCACTTATTTATTCATGTACATTTTCGCACTAATCCGAATTCAGAGAATTCAGAACTCAGAGTGTTCCAACTGTCTTGTCTTCTCTCACTTGAGTGCTTGCCAACCAATCAGGTTCTAGACTAGTTCTCTCTCTACCCCATCTCGAACTCACGTATACTAGGCTCAGGGTTAAGCCGCTCAGCCTATCGCGCCAAGGTCATAATCTAGACTAGACAAATCAAGGTAAAGTCATAACAAAGTATCGACGGGGTAAAAGCGATTCAAGGTCATAACATAAAGAAACCACAGAAGATAAAAAATTCCATTTCCATTCAACCTAGATTCGAAGTTTACGATGTTGAAGCGATGGAAAACAGAAGATTTAAAACCACACTAACCAGAACGCATCGTGTAGCCAGGCTGATTATCGTGGATAAAAGAATAAGATTTTTTGCTCCAATCAAAAAACTGAGAAATATTCCTTTTCATGTTACCACCAATCGCACTTACATTTGTCTGCCAAACCAGTTAATTTGCTAGAACTGAAAGAACAGCTTATGTTTGATACCTGGAACATATCCAAACAGGCATCAGGTCAATAGGATTAAATGCTTCAAACTGTGCTATTGAAAAAGGATCTCCGCAAAGTAGAGTATTAAGTTTATACACTTAAACTCTTTTGATACCATCAATCGATAGTCAAGTTCACCGAAGCTATAATCATCAACCGCCTTTGGCCTGACTTTTGTATCCAAAAAGAAACAGTTACAAATCTTTCTTCACCAAATTGTATTTATTGTCAGTTTGTTAAATCACTTTTGAAATTTTTTCTCTGTTATTCTGTTGTGTCACTGAATGTAAATCCATAATTTTACTTTCAACTTATTGCTTGTGCCATTGGTACTAAATGATGATTCATTTTTACTTGATTATACGCTTATCACGAATTCTAAATATAATACGTCCAGTTGTGCTCATCTAGTTCTACCCATGGTATTAACTTCATTTTTTCTCAAAACAGTGTAAAGATTATTGCTACTTTTACTTCACCCAGCACTAAAAAACAAATTGATCTATATCAGTTTGATTACAGACGCCCCACCATTGATACTACCTTGACGTGATGTTTGTGCTTGACTATCGTGATGGACCAATCGAGCTATACTGGTTGGAACACTCGTCCTTCAAGTCCCGCCATGCCAGACAGGTTGACGGAAGAACGGTCAGACTAAAAGCAGCAGACCCAGGGTCCAAAGGTGAAGTCGTACTGCTGGTTGCGCAGAGGTGTTATCACAGTAGGGTGTTTCCTCCAGCCAACCAGCATAACAGCGGTGTTGCCTTCCCACAAAGAGGGGGGATACGAAAAGTCTATCATAAAACCGTACACCTCGCCTTATCCCACGGATATCCGTCTGTTGTCCCTCATGGAAGAGCATTGGCCACCCACCAGCATAACACGTACTAAGTTAATACGAAAATTACCCACAAAAGGTCGTGTGCGACCGACCCCAAGCAGTTGTCCCTTGGGTACCTCGATCACGCTCTCAGATCACTAAAACCATCTCTAATCCGATTTCCTTTTCTAGTACCTCCAGAAGAACCCTTTCACGATATGGGGAACTGGGAAGTGATAACTACCCTCATACCTCTAGCAGCAATCAAGACCACTGTATTCATAATCAATCTCCCTCTTCAGTTCCTATTATTCCTCCCACCTCGACTTTCAATTCTTAACTTCCTCTTTTAACTTCCTTCTTAAGTGCCACCATGACTAACGATTCTAATGCACGAAAAGACTTCCCATGTCTACTGACATCTCGCTCCAAACTACACATTGGAGCCTTCAACGTACGCACCCTATATCAAATCTACTAATGGGCCTCCTTGGTTAAAACCCTAGAATCTCATACCGCTGATGTATGCTGTGTCTCCAAAACACATACAGGATCCTAGTGTGGTCGTTCACTTTACCTCATCTTGCCAAAAAGGTGAGCCGACGAGATAAACCCTTCGTGTATCTGGCGCCTCGATGGCTAGTTCTCGTGGACTGTGAGGTGTAGGCATAGCACTATGTACGAGGGCAGAACAAGTACTATTAAAATGGATCTCCGTTAACAGTCGTCTATGTGCTGTTTGCTAAACGGCTCTGTAAGAACTCGGAAGGATAGGGACACACGTCATTGCCTTTTCATCTTTTCTGCCTACGCTCCCATTGACTGCGAACCGGATGATGTGAAAGATGACTTTTACAGAAAGCTCTATGAATTTCTTCAGAAAGCTAAACGTTCAGACACAGTACTCGTAGGAGGTGACTTTGATTCTCAGATAAGTAGCTTAAACCAAACCGAAAGACATTCAGTTGGGTCTCTTAATATTTCGGCTCAGCAAACGGATAATAGTGATCGTCTGTTGAAATTGTTCTCAGACAGTCTTTTATTTTTAACAAGCATTAACTTTAAGCATAAGGGGAGACATCGTCTAACATGGAGACTGCCTGCACCAAAGCAACGATGGACTCAAATAGACCATATTGCCATCAGTCATCGTTGGGGAGGCCCAATAGAAGACTGTCGCTCTTTCTAGAATACCTGTTTGGACTTCGGTCATGCTGTTATACGAGCACGCGTTTGCTTGCACCTCTCTGGACGCAGGGAAAACACATTATGAAGACCCATTAGAATCTAACTCAGTGACGAGGAAGCTAACAGTAGGTTCTAGGAACAATTGAGGCCATACTTAGGTAGTTCTGAAAACGAGGCTTACCCAGATGTTGCTTGGAAAGATATACAAGCAGCTGTGGAAACAGTAGTGTCATCTAATAGTGATTTAAATCAAAGGGTTACAAAAACCAGTGGATTTCTTCTAGGTCCATTGCACTGATGGATTCTCGTAAACTCATCCCATCAGGCTGTAAACATGATGAATGACGAAAACAAATCGTATCTCGGCTAACCAAAAGTCTAGGGAACGACCTTGAGCAGTGGTGTGCATTGAAAGCAATAGAGATGTAAACGGCAGCGGCTATATGTAACACACGACAGCTCTCTAGACTCATAAAAGAAACTGGGACTAAACATTCATGTGTAAGTGAGAATGTAACGACCGAACTGCCAGTATTCGGTTTGAACTCAGGACTGACGAACCAAAATTTATTCGAACAGACCAGACTACGTTCTTCTGTATAACGTGCGAAGCGTTTTTGAGTTACTCGTATTACATTATATCAAAACACATACTCTGTGCTAAATTTAAACCGTTCTAATTTAGGAAATAGAACAAATTATATCAAAAATACAAAATACCTCAAACCGTACAACCTGTGCTATACAGTCAAAAGTTTCTCTAATGCAAAGTTTAAAATACAGGACAGGGAGAAGAAATAAATAAATGACAGTACTATCCAACAAAAAAGGTGTGGAGGGATTTTCATCGTTCTCTTTCCGTTACAGAGAGAATCTCGGAAAAAGACTTCACTCATATCTGCTCACAGTCCGGGTGTTCAGAACGATGGGCGGAACACTTTAGAGAACAGTTTAGCTGGCCTTCAGCTACTCTTCAACTACTTGCCATTCTCAGATAGTGTGAATGGAACATTGAAGTAGGTCTCTTGACTCTAGTTGAAGTTCAAAAGGCTATAACTAATTTGAAACGAGGAAGAGCAGTTGATTCAGATGGGGTGGGTCCATATGTCTTTAAGGATGGTGATCTAGTATTAGCGATTAGGTCGACTAATATTTTAGTTAAAATCTGGGAGTTGGTTGTAATCCCATCTAACTGGTCGCAATCATTGATTGTCCAAATATATAAGAAGGGGTCAAAATTATCCTGTGAAAATCATAGAGGGACTAGTTTGACTAATATAGTATCTGAAATACTACCCTCAATAATTATCGGGAACCTAACAAAGACTCGTGAACTGCAAACAGGGGAAAATCAGGCTGGTTTCACACGTGGTCGTGGCTTCGCACAGATAATCTTACATGTACTAGAAAAGTGGTTGGTCAGAGGTTGTTGAGAAAACAAATCAGGGATCAAAGCATGTGCTGTTATATCACTGAATTCCACTGGAGATATTGACAAGAAAGTAAGCCATATTTGTGAGACAATTAAACAATACCTTGAAATATTAGATTCTCGTCGCTGGCCCTGAGAACAAGATGACTGACCGACAGGTGCATGGGAAAGCTGCGTGTAACCTGGGGCAGCATAGTTCTCACTGGCTAATACCTTCATTTCATCAACAGATCGAACAGTTGACAGTAACTCACTGACCAGTTCAAATAACGGAAATGTCATCAAAGGCCGACTACATAGTTTAGGAAGATAGAGTAGTCAACGAAAATCATACTCTTATTTATATGGTTTCGAAACTAGATTCATGTTATGCCATGTATTTGACCTGAATCAGTTTTGTACAATTACCGACCCGGTTTATAACGTTGTGTAAATTCAAGAGCTAAATAAGACACCATGTTTAACCCGGATTCTCTTAGATTTCCGACGTGTCGAACGGTTCTACTTGAAATCCTCGTTGGCACGCAATCGTGAGTCGATACGAAAGTCCGGCAAGCGAACATTTATTCTAGTCCGTCCAAACCTAATTCCATTTGTTTAAATACCTCAAGTCTATGACTAAGACTTGGGTCCAATTTGTATGCTGTCGCTATGTCAGATGTTTTCTTATACATTTATGATCTTTCAGGTGGCCTAGCTAGTGTTTTTAGTTCTGGTCTTTTGGGTATGCTAGATGGTTTCTTAATACTTCTCCGAATTAAGGCAAGAAAATTGATGGAATATGGCATACTGCTTCTGTTTTGTATGATAAGGAATTTTTCTTTGGACAATCAGGAATTCAGTATTGTGAGCCAGTGAGTTTTAACCTAGAACGTGTTTATGTTCATTCAGTGAATTTAACAAGTCCTTTAAAGAAATAGCATTACATACTGTAATTCATCTACAAATTACAATATTGATATCTACGAAAATAATCGAGAATAATGTGCGTAACTTCGAGCGTGTTGATTAAAATCGTCTATTCACTAGTTACGGACTTTGATAGTCCAATTCTAGCTTTACGAAAACTTCAGAAAAGGCCGGTCGGTTGTATGCGTTCACTATTCATATCTGGGATCTGTCTAACAATTGACATCCTTATCCAATACATGTAAGGTAGTAGAGTAGTCAAGAGATGGGTTTTAATCGACGTTTATTCACCAGAAAATACATCCAGTCTCATTATTTCGCGAGGTAGTTTAATCCTAACACAATAATTACCTGTAAACAGTTAATTTGTTATCCAATCATAACTAAAAGTACTCTAAATGGGTCGTTTGTATTTGTCTAATTTATTTCCTGTTTCTCAATATAATTGTTGTGTAATAATTTTCCGTCCTCCAGTGTTCTGGTTTTCTGTTTCTGTTGGTTATATGCATCCTTGCTCTTGTAGTACTATAAATCAATCCACAAAATTTCGTGTCTAATTTTTATTATTGATACTTCGCTCGTCCAACATCCTTTTTGGTTTTAAGTCAGTTATCCACTACTCATGTGAAGTTGGTCTTGTGTACTGCAAATCTACTGACCATCCATGTGCATACTGTATAAAAGGAATGATTTTTTAAAGATTCGACTTCAGAAACATGTAGTGGTCAGTATATTATTAAACTGCGGCCTCTGCATCTACTTGAACCGTACAAAAACTAATAACAGGGCGCTTTTTTCTTCTCAGATGTAATTTCTAATCGCTTCCGGCGAATCAAAAAAATGCCATCTCCGGACCCGCTACTATGTAATGTTGTCTCCAATAAACTTGTACTTGTCTCTGACGTATCTAATCAAAATGTTATTCACTACATGTTGGCTTTTTCCGATGTTTCGTATGAAGTGATTTTTATTCAATTTTGCATTTCCAGTCTTGAGGTTTTAGGGATCTTGTATGTAAGACAGTTATTTTAACGTTAGTTGTTTGTCCGGGGAAGTTGCTGAGGTGCTGAAAAATATATAAAACCCTTTAGAATGTTTTTTCTATTTAATAAGACCTAGGAGTCAGTAGTTCATGTGTTTGACTTCTAGTCACTAAATGTCGGGTTGGAGCCCTGCCTCACCTTTATCTTCAAAATCTTGTTTTCTATTTTTTTTGTATTCTCTTCACTCAAGTTCATGTTCATCCTGATCTTCGTTTCCATCAACTCTGTTTTTGTATCGTTCCAAAGGATGGAAGGTTGGAATGATACATTTTGAAATTCTACATTGATATATTTTTCTTACAGGTATATTTGTGCATTATGAGATATTGTTTACCGTTCACTTGTATAAAAATAAGTAATTTGTTTCAGGTAACATTCAATAATAAATTTGACCAACGGTAAAACCCATGAACATCTCATCTGTCGGTATACAACCTTATAACTGTCAAACTTTCACATTACGCTGACCACATCCTAGTGAAACAACAATCATTTTTGGTGACTCCCAAACATTTTATTCCGTCAACTCACTTGTGTACCACTTGCTTTTATTGCCGTGATCAGGTGAAACTGATTCTGTTGCCTATAGCACCAACGTCTCAATCAACTGTATTTGTGTATCCATGCCTGTTGTCAAAGCAATAAATTTAGCTAGTTTGTGTTTTTTTCACTCTGTTAATGCACTTCCATCAGTGGGCGTGAATTAAATTAGTTGTAAACGAAAATAATTTTAATTAAAAAGGCAATCTCCCGAGCTGGTTGGGAAGAACTAAATCACCAATAATTTTATAAAATTTGAGTGGTAAAGTTTGAGGATTTAGAAAAACCATTCATCAACACTGATTAGTTGGGATGGGACCGATCATCATGTTCAGATCATTTTTGGTTTTAACTTACAGAAGTAATTCATTATAAGTTGAACCTACTAACGTATATTTCTACTCGCGTAATTCACTTTGAATATGTTTTCTCGATAACGACACCATCGCCTTTTTCTGTCACCTCACTTTTCTCAATTTTTCTCCAAGTGCTCAACCTCTTTAGGAAATCCATTAAAAAAGCAATTCATGGGGAAGACACCATTGTCAGAATCTGAAATTTTCAATTATTTAGAGCGACTATCCAATACATTGTTCAAGTAAGTCACGTGGTCAGTTATGAAAACACTTGTAATTTGATTATTTGGTTCCCATGTATGTTATTCATCAGTATCCTGCATAACTTTGCCTGTAGCTCTTCTAGGGCTACTGCCGGTCTCAATCCCACATAAAGGAGGAGGGTTGGGTATGGGGTCGGCAACCCCATTTCGTAGAAAACAACTTTGCGAAAAAACACTAACCAGAATAAACCATTTAAACTCTGTCTTGGGAGTTGAAGAGAGAATTATGACACCTCATAATAAAATCCGAGATTCGTCGGAAGTCACGAGGCTGATGCCCCCTCTAACAACCAGAGCAACAAGTTTTATAGGTGCATAAAACGTCTGGACAATGTGGGAGACGAGAAGGACCAGTCAAATAGCTGAAGAAATGAGAAGATACAACTTGGCGGTTCTTGCTATTAGGAAAACCAATTGGAACCAAGCTTAATAGAGAAAAACTAGATTCAGGAGAGGTGGTGTTGTATTGTGGTCATTAAGAAAAAAACACTTCGATCACAAGGAGTCCTGCTAGTGCTGTCTTAAGAAGCACATAATGCACTTATAGGATGGGAATCTCATCGATCCAGAATCGCCGAAGCATCCTTCAAAACAAAGAAGGGGGAATTACAGTGAATATTATCCAATGCTATTCACCCACCAATGGTAGCAGTAACGACGATGGAGGTCAGCTATACGAGAATCTGCTATGGATCATAGCGAAATGTCTAAGAAACAACTTGACAGCACTGATGGGATAGGTAAACTCCAAAGTCGGAACGAACAACAACGTTTATGAATATATCATGGAACGACATGAACTAGGAGAGAGAAACGAGAATGGGTAGAGATTTGCAAATCTATGTGCATTCAACAAACTGGTTATAGGCGGTACAATATTCCCACACAAATACATACATAAAGCTACATGGATCTCACTGGACCGCACCACGAAGAACTGGATAAATCGAATTTGCATAGGTAAAAAAATCAGAAGGTAAGTGGTAAACGTGAGAACCAGGAAAGGAGCTGACATAGTTTCTGATCACCAACAACTGGTTGTGGCAAAGATAAAACTGGAACTAAAGAAGTATTGGGCAACTGGACAAACAGGATTACAAAGGTTCAATACAGCCTTCATTTGGCATACTGGTAAACTCAACGAATTCAAGGTAACTCTCGACAACAGGTTCCAAGCCTTACAGGATCTACTCAGCGAAGAGGAATCTACTATGGAGGACAACTGGAAAGGTATGAAAGAAGCACCAACTTCAACATGTCAGGAGGTTCTGGGTTGCAATAAGCATCATCATAACCAGTAGATATCTGTCGGAACCCTAGACAAGATTGAAGAAAAGAAGACAGCAATTAACAACAGCCGAACAAGAGCAGAGAAAGTCGACGCACGAGCTGAATACACAGAAGCAAACAAGCAAGTGAAGAAGAGCATTAAAGCCGACAAGCAGGCATATGTGGAAGAGCTAGCAACGACAGCTGAACAATCTGCAAGAGAAGGAAATATGAAGCAACTATATGACACGACGAAGTAATTGACAGGTAAATACAGTAGATCGGAGATACCGATCAAGGACAAAAAAGGTACATATGGGTGGAACAGTGTGAGGAACTCTTGAATTGACCAGGTTCATTGAATCCATGAGGTGTCGAAACAGCACACCCAGACGTTGCCATAGATGTCACTCCACCAACGACGGAAGAAGTCAGGATGGCCATCAGACAAATGAAGAGTGGGAAAGCAGCAGGACTTGACAATATACCAGCCGATGCACTAAAGTGAGACTTAGAAGTAATGGCAAAAATACTCCAGTTCCTATTCAGGTAGATTTGGTAGGAAGAACAAGTGCTGATGGAGTGGAAGTAAGGATGTCTGATCAAGATACCAAAGAAAGGAGATCTGAGCAAATGTAAGAACGATAGAGGCATTACACCGCCGTCAGCACCAGGAAAGTTTTTCAACAGTGTTGCTGAACTGGATGAAAGACTCAGTAAAGGCTCAACTTCGAGATCAACAAGCTGGATTCCGTAAGGATCAGTCGTGCACAAACCAAATCGTGACACTACGGGTCATCTTTGAACAATCAATTGAATGAACCTCGTCACTATACATTAAGTTGATTGACTATGAGAAAGCAATTGACAGTGTGGATAGGAAACATTATGGGAATTTCTTCGTCATCATAAAGTACTTGAGAAAACCGTCAACATCATACGGAATTCATATGACGGACTATACTGCAGAGTGGTGCACGGAGGACAGTTGACAGACGCATTCCAAGTGAGGACCTAAGTCACACAAGGCTGACTACCTGTCCTTTCTCTTTCTTCTAGTGGTTGACTGGAATATGACAACCTCGACATCTGGGAGGAAGCACAGAATAAAATGGACATGTTGGATGCAACTAGATGATTTGGACTTCGCAGATGACCTGGCTCTTCTATCCCATACATATCAACAAATGCAGGTCAAGATATGCAATTTAGTAGTAGTCTCTGCACCAGCAGGCCTAAACATACACAAGGGAAAAAGCAACACTTTCAAATTCAACACAGAGTACACCAACCCAATCACACTTGATAGAGAAACTATGGAAGATGTGGAATATTTCACGCATCTGGGTAGAATCATCGACGATCGAAGAGGGTTTGATGCAGACGTAAAGGTGAAGATTGGCTAAGCGAAGAACGCATTCCTACAACTGAAGAACATAAGGAACTCAAAACAATAACCAATATCAAAGTCACAATCTTTAATACGAACGTCAAGACAGTGAGTTATAGTGTACGTTGCTGAAACTTGGAGAACTACTACAACCGTCCTCAAGAAGGTATAAGTACTTATAAATAACTGTCTGCGTAAGATACTGAATATCCGTTGACCGGATAGCATCAGCAAGAGCCTACTATGGGAAAAAGCAAACCAGCTTCCAGCTCAAGAGGAAATTGGGAAAAGATGTTGGAAGTGGATAAGACACACATTCAGGAAATCATTAAACTAGATAAGGAGGCAGGCGCTAATCCTGAAGGGAAACGAAATAGAGGAAGACCAAAGAACACATTGACTCGGGGATTGGAGGCAGATTTCATAGGAGTGAATAGCAACTAGGAAGGATTTTTCAGGACAGAGTTCGATGGAGAATGCTGATGAGCGGCCCATGCTTCTCCACGAGGGTTAACAGGTGTAAGTAATCTTGCATAGTTTTAGGGTAAACAAAGTAGGGTAGCTCCAATTGAATATCAACTAATTTTGAAAACTATTATAAAAAATAAGGTGACTTCTATTCATTTATCACGAAAAACACAAACTATTCATTCGAAATAATCGTTAAGAAATCTGATTTGCAGCCACTGTATCTGCTTCTGTTTGAGCAATCGGGTATTACTAGCCGTCATATTTACAGTATACGAATTTGTGCCTCGTAAACATGCATCCATTTTGATTTCGTAGAATACTTTGTTGTGGACGTTTTTTAGGATTGACAGTGATGATGATGTGTTAGCTGTAGGGGCAGATTGGGCTATTGCGAAACTTTACTATTCTTTAGTTAATCAGTTTGTATATCTGTAATGAACATTATTATTATTATTATTATTATTATTATTATTATTATTATTATTATTATTATTATTATTATTATTATTATTATTATTATTATTGTAAGCTGTCATTTGGCTCATTAATTATTGTTATGTTATTCACTGGTCAGAATTGTCGTCAACTTGATAATAAAACAAACTGTTTTAGGTATGTATATGTTGGTACTTATATTCACCCATATTTAATGTCAAGCCTGACACAAATATGCGCTAGTCCAAGTTGCCAAATCACATTAACGTGATGAGATGAATAGTAAAATAGTCCGAATCGTACAGTGGCACTGTTAATGCGAAAGGCTAAGCTCTTTGAATATGGTTTGAAATGACGGAGCTCAAAGACATGTATGGAGGATTACCGAAACTCCAAATGTAGGGTAAGATAAAGAGTGGATAAATCTACATCATTTTGATCAATTGCTATCAGGAGTGATGGCTTGGTGTTTAGATCATTTATAAAAGTATAAAATCCTCTTCGTTTACTTTGGTTAAGATAACTGAGAGGGTAGGGGAAGCATCACTGATCCTCCCCATACAGTAAATTACGGTCAAAAACAGTATATATAAACTTTTATTTGGTAAGTACTTTAGCTATTTTGTACTCGATGAATCAACCCATCAAATAACACCATTTTATCAAGGATTTCGGTTGGTACCAACCACCTCAGTTGATGTCATCTTTGTCAAGTTTCATATTGCTAACCACAGTGCTGCCTACGCAGCCGTTGCACTGTGCGCCAGAAATGCTTCGAAGAGACCTATGATCAAGAACTATCATCTTATGTATGTCTTCTAGATTCACACATATTTTGCGGCTACGGAATAGGTGTCATTACCGAGATTCGACTTGGTAATTTAAAATAAATTGAGCAATACGTAGATAGTTTGTAGTGTCAGTCATTATTTTAAACCCATAATATACCTTATTCTAGTTTTTGGACAAACCAATCTATTCATTCTACTCGAGTCATATTTTGACCTTGTCAATTATTCGCTTATCAGTCTTGACTATTTTCATATGAGCGTATATGTGTGTGTACACTTCATATCCCATGTCTCATCACATGTCTGTAGTTTATTTTGTTTGCCTATAAATATTTGAGTAACGCCTGGCTAAAAATGAGTTGGCTTACCAGCCATCTCCCGTGTGCGCCATTTTGTTTTGTTCTATCACATTCACTTTACATACAAAATATATGTATTCAAAGGCCATTTTCGTTAGTTGACTTATCTAAATACCGTTATATTGAATAACGTGATTTAAGTCGATGATTATATACGAGGATAGGTGATAACAAACATTCGTATGATCTAAATGGAGTCTGATCAACGGGCCACTAAAAGTTATTAGTAAAAAATAATATATTTGTAACATCCCAATGAGTAAAGAAATTAAATTTATAAATTTTCGGACGTTTCGTGACTCAGTGTAGGCCACTTCTTCAGAGAATAAATGAACAAATTAAACTAGCATAATATTAAATTGTACACAAGAACAAAGCAACAATATTTAGTGCGACTAATCAAAAATAGGTCTTGCGAAGTCAATGTTATGTCATTCCGGTCGAGGTGATTTATGTGAGACATGTTTGTGCAGTTGTGCGTATATATGTTCAAGGATGAAAAAAATGTGACATTTGTGGTGCGAATGGGTAGTTTTGAATGTATATGTTCGATAATGGTGTGAGATGTGAATAGAATCAGACATAGTGGCCCGGACAGATGGTCCAAGTCAGATGGATGGTGAGGCTTTCTTTTCAATTGAAGGCTGTAGGATTAAGCGATATATGGAAAGCTTCAGCTACTCAACTTTCTTTGTAGTTGGAAAAGTTTTTTTGTATTATATTGATGCTCTTAATATCGACTTGATGGTTATTGACAATGTCATGGACTGCTATTGTCGATGTAATTTGAAATCTTTCCAGTTCTATGGGATTGTTAGGCGATTTTTCTGTGTACCTAAGATGTTCTTTAGCTCGAGTCAAAATTTCACGAGATGACTTTCCAATATAGAAGGCATTGCAAACGAAACATCCTAATATGTAAACACAATTCTGTGTTGATATAAAGGGAATTATTTCCTTTATGCTGACTAAAACATTTAGAAGGGTGTTCGTTGTTTTATAATATATTTTAATTTGGTTTTATTTTAAGGCTCTTTGAAATTCTGTTGTACCATGGCGGTGCGGTAAAACTACAGTACCAATCCATTGTATTTCATTCGGATTATTATTTAGCAGTAAAAGGTCTCGTTTTATTGCACTTTTAATAATCGTCATAGCAACATTACTAAATCGTAAGATGTCAATTATATGCTTTCGTACTTTTTGTCTATCCTCTTCAAATATGATAGTCTTGTTTGCTTTTCTAAAGAGATTTAGGGCTAGAGAGATTTTCGCACCGAATGGATGTGCTAAATTGAAGTCGATATAACGATTTAAGCGCGCTGGATTTCGGTAGATAGATTTAAAGCTCCACTTTCATTCCTTTTAACTAAGCAATTTAAAAATGGTAGCTCACTGTGTTCATTTTGATTCTCGTTCGTACAGAGAGAAAGAATTAGTTCGCAAAAAGAAAATCAAAGAGTAATTTTAATCTCACGGTATTAAGGGAAAACAAAGAGTGTACACACCTATGCCATTGTGACCGATTCTGAGCCATGTCACCCAGTCTCCAACCACTGGTTACGGTAGTCGCGCGGACCCCAACCAAGTAATCTGCATCTATCAACATGGCTCAGACCAGAAGTTAGTGGCTCTATAGATTGATGCTACGTTTTGATTTGGCTGCTCCTATTTTTCTTCCTACCGTCTCCAACACTAGTCAGCATCACAAGCCGTGGTAATCGGTGGTCGGGGATGTGTAATACGTGACCCAACCATCTTAGTTGATGAAGATTTACAATCTCACCAACTGATTTACCACCATTATCCAATACCGTGCGTCTAACTCCATTATTACTTATCTGGTGATCCCAACAGATACTGACTATTTCTAAGACATCTGTGACCAAATACAAGTAACTCACGATTATCATCTACCCTTACTGGTCATGTTTCGCAGCTGTGAAGTAATATAGTAGTACGGAGTGGGCTGAAATCTGGTAAAGTTGAAATTACCATGATCTATCAGTCGTGTGAAACAAATACAGTAACGGAGTGAACAAATTTGTTTTATTCATACGACAAACAAAAACATTGGACTAATCGGGTTATTCGTAATATTATCACATGAGATTGTAGTGATTGTTGAATTTGAAGCTTCTCATCACTAATCAACTTCGGTTAGACCTTCTCCAAAAACCAGGAGCGTTGGACAGCTGTTTCGTCACAGTGTCGGTGCTAAGGCGACCACAGGTTGTCTACCTTCTGCCATTAAATGTTAGTTCATTCTCTAAAGGATAGCCTCGACAATATTTTGGCATTCATATTTCCGCATTAACCTCTTCTGTTAAATAATTGTTTTTTCGTCTAGTTTGCTAATTTTCCTATATCCTAAAGTCGTATTTTGTTGTTATACATACAGAGTTGTCCCACTTCGAATTTTACCTTCGGAATATCAGGCTTATCCTGTTCTTCTGTCTTCTCTCTGCACCCCCTCGCTATGGCGATTATTGTTGGTGTTACTTATCAATAGCCGCAATTAATTACTGTAGGACTAATCGTAAATTATAACAGAGGGGCTCCTCTACAATATTCGTCCATGAATCAACCAGAGGTTGAATCCAGGACCTTCAAATATTAAATGGGGTGGGGGTGGGGCGTTTAAACTTTTGAGTACTGAATTGATGTCCAATGGTTTACATTTCTGGCTTCAGTTCATGTTATTAAAATGTGTGTTGTATCAATGAATTGATCTTGAATTTTCAAAGAGATATGATTATTATTGCTTCATCTGTTTTTTTAGACCAGGCGATTATTCGCTTTTTGAACATAATTGTAACACTTTCAGTGAACACTTTATATTTCACTTGACTGGACAGCATATCCCATCGTATATATTGAACTTACCTAATGAAGTTTTGTCTACACCATTTGGAGCTTCATTAGGTTCAGCTTTGAATGTCCTGTCGGTTGGAATCAATTCCAAAACACGTTTGAATAGTATTAAAGAAATTCCATGTATGTGTTGTGTTTCATTATTATGATAACTGAAATTTAAAAAAATATTATTTATAGCTAATAACGATAAACATACATACGCTGATATTATTAAATCTTTTCGACCAATATTTTTTGATGTAAGTGTTTTGTGGTTAATTTGTTTGAGCTTTTTTGAGTATTTTATTCATTTAATTGTCTACACTGAAATATCTCATGTAGTTGATTACTATCAATATACTGGCTCGATTGTCATGTACGCATTTGTGCAGTTGGCTTAAAATCGTATTCTAAGTGCGAAAGATGAAGTTATTTTCTAGTTAACTAAATCGAAGTAAGTAGGTTAAATAGGATTTGAACGTGAAACTTAATAATTTAAAGTTGAATAGTGTAATCACTGAGCCACCGCTTCACTTGCAGTAAACTAGCGACGTTCATGAATGAGACTGTTATAAGGTTGATTTTCAAAGTTGATCATAAATCTCACTTATCAACTTGAAACTTTATACACAGCCTTGATGTATATTGTTTGTATATGCGTGTGGGCGGTTGTGATACTGCTTTATTGCTGAAGAGGAAGTAGGCAGTGGTGAGAGTTTGAACCTGGGATTTGTGAGTTGAAAGTCGGGTGCGAAGTTGTACTGCCAGCTGTATTGGAGCGTGATGTCAGTCTGGTATTCCTATCAGGAAACCAGGATTCCCATTGTTATTACTCTCTCATGACGGAAGGAGAGAGTTAGGCAAAGTCGACTAGAAATTGCACACCCCATTTCGCCCTACGGCTTTCTGTCGCTGGAGGTACGGGCATTCAAATACTTTACCTTTAGGTAGGCCACCATCTTCAATAGAATTAATCATAGTTAAAAATCAATGAACCAACGGTTTACTTAGGCTTAGTTGGTAATCAATATATCATACAGTTTATTATTGTATGGAAAGTGAATGCAAGTTTGTTTTACTATTTTCACTGACGTTGGAACGAATGTGAATAATGAGCTTTAGCTCACGAGACCAAAGGTCATGCGCTTCATTCTCTGTGGCAAGGTCGTGGAAGCTCACCTCTGAGTATCATGCTAGGATGAAACAACTGTCCAGTGCTTCCTAGTTTTCATTGGTGGTCTAACTAAGAAATTAGAAATCTTTAGTCCGTAGACATCATACAAAGACCATGTTCACATTTTCTATACTGCTAAATACTATTGGTAGATATTTTTAATTTCAATCAAATTTAATCAGACTTGATAAACAACAAACGAGCGGAACAACAGCATCACATAGGAAGTTTCAACACAAGTAGTTTATTGCGTAAAAAGATTCCAAGTATCTTGGTTTTCCGCAAAGCATCAGGCCCATAGCTCAGTGCATGGAAGATTTACATGGTTACCAAGGTTTTTTGTGTCCAATTTATCTGCAAATCCTCTGGTTTTTATAGATCTAACTATAGACAAGGTTTTGATTTCTGAAATGTTTTTAGATGCTATATACTCTCATTGTTGAATTAATTGGTTAGAAGTAACGGGTTCACATGTAGTTCTCATGTGAGATGTAATTATTCAACAATTTATATATAGTAAATATTTACTCATTATTACATGAGAGTGTCTCGAAGTTGAAAATCAGATGCAGTAATAATTAATTAAATGAACAAAGTCATCCATGAGTTATTGATTTTTCAATGAGACTAAAAACCAATTGGAGAAATATCTAGTGTTAAGAGGGTTATTTATCAGCATTATATATAAACTGTTTCATGACATTTAGTTACCCTTTGATACAGTAGTTTATATCTCGGTACTAAGTTTTCAAAAACCTTGAATATCTATACCTAATACTGCCTTCAGTGATATATCACAATACATATCCAATAACAAATGAATAACTTTGAACTAACGAATGCAGTTGATCTTGAGTTCTGATTAACGTAATCAAGTTCCTTAATTCGATCATAAGAGAAATTAATTGAAAACTGTAATATTTATTCATTTACTTACATGTTAGTTTCAACAGTAATTAAGTAGACAATTAATTTTGACTAGTGATAATAATGATAACATTGAAAAAGTCGTCCCTGTTTATCATATCTGTGTGTATGTATGTATATTTCCTTTTCAGGAACCTTTATCCTCAGAACTTCTTCCTCATCGTATATATTTGTTATGGCCAGCTGAGGAAAATGCAAGTTTACCAACTTTAGCTTCAGAGTTATCAAGAGTACTACTTCATGAGAACACGGAAGTAAAATGTGCTGAAGAATGTTCACCTCTACTTGGTGTGTGTTTATTTGTATACCTTGTTTCTGCAATGTTATATGTAATTCCTATTTTATGGTGTTTTGTTAGTAAAATGTTTAGATTAGTAGTTAGAGTTGATAATTTTCAGTGTCATGATATGCTATTTGTTCACAGTTTGAAGTAGAGAATCACTTTTCCAAGTCATGAAGGATAGCCAATGTGGGATGTTTTTGATACATATAAATTTTCCAGAACTGATTCTTGTAAATTGAATTGGGACCAACACTTATCTGACTCATTCAGACTTTTTGTAATGCTTTATTCTGGGTGCTGGATTTTTAAAGTCTGTAATTTTCATAAACGAAGAATGTATTTGTAAAATCTCAGCGAAAGAATTTGAAGTAAATCCAACGTTTCGCCTGGCAATCTGGTTCAAGCTTTTCCAAGGAAAATATAATCAGACAACAAAATTATCGAATATAAATGGGTACATGGTTCTCTGGTTTACTGTATACTGAATAAGTCATCCAATCAACGTGAACAATGTTTGAAGTATGTATTTACATTAGTATGTAAGAGACATGTGGTGTGAAACGAAAAGTGGTAAGATAACAAATCGTGTGTATACTTAAGTGATGTGAGAAGAAATTTCATTCAACTATATATTGTCTTCGGTCTGTGTATATTAAGAAAACATATCATTTTATATATGATCTGAATCAAAAATGTCACAGCATGCATTAAATGATAAATAAACAAGATAAATAATCAAGATAAAAGACTGAATTCAAAGAGGAATGCATTTGTAATTGAAAGTTTGTGTTATTTTAATGTTCCAGTCAATTGTTTAACATATTCAGATAAGATAACTGATTTGAACCGTTAAACCTTGAAAAATCTTGGACCAGATTGCCAGGCGAAACGTTGGATTTACTTCAAATTCTTTCACTGAGATTTTACAAATACGTTCTTCCTCTTTAATGTCTCACGTTAACTCGGCGCCCAAATATTACGAAACTATTCGTTCAAATTTAGACGAAAGTTTTTATTTATCTGTAATTTTCATAGTTTTTTAAATTTGAAAAGACTCATCACACAGCATGGATTCAGAAGGCTTGATCGGGTTTTGTGAACTTACGTTACCTTCGGCGTATGCGAGATATTCGTCTTCTAACCAAAGGGTGAGTCTAATGCGCTGCAGTTTGCTTCGTCCTACTTTATGGATGTAAAATGTGGAGATTAAGAGTAGAGAATATACGTAAGTTACTGATGCTTACGAAACATTGTTCGTGTATTTTGAAATCACGGAGTAAGCAATGTCTGGGTTAGGAACAGAGTACTAGGTAAAGATACAAAATCGATCAGTGGGGTAGTAAATCTTCATCAACTGAGGTAGTTGTGACATATGTTACGTATACTCAACCACCGCCTACCTCTACGGGCGGTAGTATTTGGTGTAGGAGCAGGCCGGAAGAAAGCTAGGGGCGATCAAACCAAGACGTGGCATCAATTCATGAAGTCATTGACAATTGGAGTGAGACATGTTAATACGTCTAGACTATCTGGTTGGAGTCCGTGTTATTTTCGCTCAAAATCGTTTGGAGTGGCACAAGTACATCCATTCTTTGTCTTCCAAATTCTGAGATCCTGGATTACCCAAAACGTTTTTGCTTTTATTTCATTAATTTATATTTTCTTTTTGAGTCGTATCTTTGATGCCCAATCTTTCCTACTACCTCAACTATTCTGGAACTTATTCTGATAACTTCATCTTTCTGTGCCGATGTACATAAGAACAGGGTACATCCTACCTGTGGTACTGGTTCGTTATTTCTGTAATATCACTTAAAAGATATATCACGAAAGCTAACGAATTCGCACTGAAGTTGTGACTCAGATTTCGGGACTTCATTTTCTACTATTTCATTACCGGTTCAAAGTTCATCTAACCTACTACTATTCGTGTAACATATTTGCTTTGTTAACCAAATATGTCCTTTAGCTTATTGATTGAGCCTACTGGTTATTGGTCAATTGACTGTGATAGTGATTTATTCGGTAAGGAAAATTGTAGTCAATATTTTTGCACTGATGTTAAATCGCATGATTGAATTATGCAAACCAGTGGATACTACTTTACATGGCTGGTGAAATCAAAATAAATGAAATGAGCTTTAAATCTGTAATTCATTAGTTAAAGATTGTGTGCTTTAATCGCTAAATCACAATCCCACTACAGAATTTTCAACGTTACAAGTTCAAGAAGTTGGGTGACGAGGGTGGAAATTTCACATTGGCCATCATTTCACTAAAGATAACAGGTAGATATTAGTGGTGAGTGCAAACTGGTACAAAACCTAGACCCCGTAGACTATCAACACAAGTTCTCAATAGTCATTGATATATATTGGAATTTAATGTATCAGTTAGAATCCTAATATTGTTTGCTTAAAAAGCATCTGTAAAACAATAATCTAGACAAACTAATGATCTGAAGGGTTTTTTAATTATCTTACTCTATCCATTACATATACATTTTGAATCAGTACAATTTTAAAATTTTGCATGCATTTGCATGCGTATTTAAAGTTTACTATTGTCGGTCTGTTGTTCAACACTCGAAATGTTTACTATTTTGTTAAGCAGTTTTTGTAACATTGAATGCTTTTCTAACATGCATCACTAGTTCAGATTAATGAGCGAACTACGGGAGATATTGGTTTTCATCACCTTAAAATATATTTCTAAGAAATGTTATCTCATGAGTATTCTAACCTAACATAAAACCTATTTACCATGTGCGTATTTGTGTACTACTTGGCTTTGAGCCACGTTCTAACTGTCAAGGCTAGTGATACTATCGTCTTGCCTAGACTGAAGTAGGTGGGGCAGTGTCCGAAACTGTCATTTAGTGGCTGAAAGTTGGATTTCTTAACTATCGTTTCGCTCTCCTATAAGTAGTCACTACATAGTTCTGTGAATCTTTCAACGCAACCCAAAACCTTCCGATCTCTTAGTTGAGACACTGCTAACGAGGATTTTCCAGTTTCATTCTGTGCTATCACCTATCCATTAATATGTAGGCACTATTATTGAATCACTCTTACAAGGAGCATATACCTAACTGTATCTGTGTAGCCATTCAATTCAGAGTTAATAATAAATTCTCTTCAATGAAATAAGAGGAGTGTGGTTCTCTGTCCATCACTGTCTTCACTTTGTTTACTGATTAGGGATAACCTTACCACTGTTTTTTAACCTTAGGAATTGTTTGCGATATACATTTTTTGATTTATTTCTCGTACACGTATCTTCACAAATATTTTGTTATACTGATGAGTCAAAAGTTTGGACTTAACTACAATCGAAACAAGTAAAATTTAGTCTTCAATTCTTTATTTCTGAATGGTAAATTGCTGTAATTGTTATAAGAATATGGAATAGGTATAGTTTAATCGGAAAAGAAAATGTGAGCTACATATATCAAACGGAAATGAGGCAATAGGAAACCCTGGATATAGGTTATATATTATATATTATATATTATTTGACAATCGTCAGTAAGGTGTACCTGTGGTCTTGAGGAAACGAATGCTTCCTGTCGGATTCGATTCAGTGTTATTTGATCGACAGAACTCAATTAGCGCTAACAAGGATTCGACGTACATGGTACTGGTCACTACTCACTAACCAACCAATTGTAAGCAGTGAGATAAGCACAAACAATTGAGTAATTACGAAAAACAGTTGTATATACTTACCAATCGTAGTGTAAATCTACGACCCCACTATGTGGAATCGAACCCAGGTCCTTCAATCTTGCGTGCGAACGCTGAACGCCTAGACCACTGATCCGAGATCCAATGTTGTGTCTAACTTTAATCAAATGGTAATATTGTATGACCATCTTCTTCTGTTTTAGGTGGGTAACTGCCACCCACTCGACACGTTTGGACTCCACTGTCCGTTGCTTATCATTAGAATTACAGAAATTAGTCATTGCAAACCTTTATGCTGGTAACTCGGAATAAATTACGTTATTATTACCTAGTCCTGTTGTTATTTTTTTTATAAATAAACAGCATTGGATGAATTGATTACGGGTGATCAATGTCGGGCAGTATGTGAATTATTTCGTTTAGCTATATGGAAAGATTCTAATATATTGATGAATTTGTTCACTGATCCAAGACGTTTATTGCACAAATTAAGTACAGTTAAAACACCTTATGTAAAACCATGTGAATTTTATGATACTGAAGCATCTCGTGCAAAATTAGTAAGTATTTTCTGTGTTCTAAACTGACAAATTTTCTTTATATTATTTATTTATTTATATTATTTAATAATCAGAGTGTCTTTCAATTTCCTCCCTTTCCTTATTACCTACTTCAATGAATTTTGTCAATCCAAGAAGGTGATTCAAGTTTACATTCTATATGAGTCATATTAACATGAACAATTTTATTGTATTTTGTTTATCACAATCCTAAATTCACATGCTCTAAACGATGTATTTTGCCCTTAACCTGGCCATTTTTCGAATTATTAATTTGGATATATAACTGTAGAACCTGATGAGAATTTATCGAAAAGAATATTTTTCGTTCAAATACTAGTCTTTTAATATGACGGGGATCTTTAAACGAGAAATCGTTTTATTCATTATTTAATTTTACAATCAGGGTATAACGAAATTATTTTTAGTAGATTTTCAGCTACATTCACTGTATGTGTGTATTCTTTGACAATTTCCACATGTATATCAATAATGAAATGAGCATACATAAGTAGATATGATCTTTTTTGGTTATTTGTGAATTATGGAACTTTAATTTTAGCAAATGGTAGTGGGTTGTGTCACACATTGGCAAGCGTTATGATCAACACATTAAAGTATACACTTTATCAGTACGGAAAAAAACTGATCAGTTAATTATAGTATTAACTGTAATATTACGATTCTTTGGGTTTAATATCACTTTGATTATAGCGTTTAGTATTAACTAGTGAGCTATTAATCACTCCTGTGAAACCGTTAATCAGTTGCAAGCAACATCGAACTTGGAACATGTGAATTGGTTCTTGTTTTTATATCACATTATGAACACAGAAAGATGAAATTATGAAGATGGATACTAAATTAGTAGAAGTAGTAGTATCAATGACGATAGGAGATCGTTAAAGATAAAGAACATGTATCAAGTGTTATATCCCGTTAAGAATAATGAATAGAAACTGTTGGAATATATTTCTGAACTAATACTATACGTATATTTTTATTGTATAGTTGTTAAGTAACTAGACCACTCATTCGTGTTCTTCTTATTATAAGCTTTATTATTATACCCTTTACCATTCTTGAGTTGTGCTCAGTTTACCAATTACTATCTCCCACATTCACAGACACATTAAGCTAAATCTTGTACAAATGTTGTTTCCTATTTTATGGTACGATGTGGTCTTGTTGGCTTGTATATAAACCCAGTATGTTCGAAATACATGACTTATATCTCAGAGGCTGAGGTTGGTGTTCTAGACTTAACAGGCAGGGCTAGGAGGGAAGTAGGACCGATAAAGACTCTAGACTGTTCGTACGGGTTTTATGTATCATTGGTCCGATTAATAAATCACTGCTCTCTAATAGGTGGTATCATTACGTTGTACAATAATAGGGTTACCTTCGTTATCTTAAATACTAGTAACTTAGGAATATACTCTACTTTTAAAAATTATGTTTCGCATTCGAAGTGATATGTACTCATTAAAGAATTGTAGGTATATATGGTCGACTTTTAATCACACTTTGTATGGAATTTAGTGATATCCTACTCGGTTACCACAGCTGAAGTGATTCAGGGTTGAAACCTGGAACATGTTTGATTGAAAACCAAGTGCCCAAACTACTTTGGTGGATTTTCGTTCTTTGAGCTGGATGGTTTGGTCGTAGAGCTTTCAAGTAAAAAAGCCAACAAACGCATCATCTTAATATATATATATAAGACCTCAGAAATCAAGAGATTATTGCAGCTGTTTAGAATAGGTGTAGCACACGAACCAACAAAGTCATTTTAATCAATCTTATTCAAATCAAAGGGCAAAATGATAAAAGAATGAAAACTGGACATCATCAACCAAACAAACCGTTCTAGTTGCAGAAAACTCTATATCGGACAATGTGGATGCTCCCTTCATCTTCGATTGCACAAACATCAGTTAGTGTTCAAAGGCCAAGACACATATAGTCACTTATATTAATACAGAGGAAAGTACAAATCTTAGTGTATAAACTAAATTTCTTTCTTTTTTTTAGTGATCGATGTTTTTGCTTGCTTATCTTTTTTAACTATTGTCTCTGTTTTTATTTTCAGCTGTGCAACTGTTTAGGTTTATCATTGAACTGGACAATTATGCGTGATGATGATATGAAGCTAGATATCAATAGTATTATACAAATTAGTTTAACCCTGTTAAATCATGATGTTGAAAATCATTTATCCAAAGAGATTATGGGATCCGCTTCCACACCATCAACAGTAATAACACCTAGTTATTTACCAAATTTATTGCCAGAACATAAATTGGTCGGTTTAGCATTAGCTCACAATGTTTCCTTATATCCAACGGTGAGTTGCGTTTCTTTAAAAATTAAGATCACTAAACAATCTAAGTTAGGCATATATATATATATATATATATATATATATATATATATATATATATATATATAGAGAGAGAGAGAGAGAGAGAGAGAGAGAGAGAGTTTGAGGGCAGTCAGATTGTAGGGAAGATACCTCCACATTCTGCTGATGACCAAACTATTGCATTTTGTTTTTGCTGTGTATTTCCGTTCAATGATACTACCAGCCTGAATAATTGTGAACAGTTGTATAGGACCTAGCATAAATAATGCAAGGACTTAAGTTGTTACACTTTAAATCATTGAAACGAATGAGAATAAATATAATTTCTAGCAAAAATAAAACGTCAGAATAATAATATCAGTGGTGTAGTGAGAAAAATTTGAGTGAACAGAATAAGATAAACAACTATCCAAGTGTTAGGGATGCTAAATCCCTAGAAATCACTTGGTAAACATCTCATTTTTATAATTTTATTTTGGAAATTTATACTTCTCATTTCCGCGCCAAAACGCCCACTTTTACCTTCAGTTTGTATTTCTCACTTGGAAGGACTTTAAATGTCATTGCTTCGTTTCCTCCTTTAGTACATTATTTCGTAACGTTTTCCAAAGACAGTTTTGTACTGTTTATATGCTCCCAAGTTATGTACTTGTTTATTCGTGTTTCCGGGTTGCTTGTAGAATATACATTTCCCTCGGCTGAATCTGGTCTTCTCCCTCTAGTTTGCAGGGCTGAGGCGTAGTGGAATAGTTTAGCTTGTCCTATTGTTATATTGCTGACTTTTGTTGAGTTTACCGGTTTTAGGTGATATTATAATCTCTTCAAACGTAGCACCAAGGCAGAAATCGCTTGTAAATCTACCTATATTGAGTGATTCTATTCATTTACAAGCCCCGTAACAGTAGATTTCCATTAGTTTATAGATCTTTACGTAAAACTTTGAACTTTTTGTTCGACTTCAGAACAGCTTAAGGCAACTTAAATCGATGCCTTTATCTTACTTACCACACGTGGCATAATTCAAATAAGTCAGTGTACTCGGATTATATTTTTATTTATAATATGTGATATCTTAGTTGTTGGTTAGAGACTTTAAAAGATATGACTCAAGATCGTTTGGAATGGCACTAGTACATCCATTCTTTGTCTTCCTCTAAATTCTGAGATCTTGCATTCCTCATAACTTGTTTTGCTTTCAATTCATTAATTTATTTTCTTTTTGAGTCGTATCTTAGATGCTCAATCTTTCCTATTAACTCTGATGCTGTCACTACTTCAACTATTCTGGGACTTATCCTGATAACTTCATCTTTCTGTACGATTAGGGTATGGCAGTCTGAACTAATGTACATACTTACAGGTTCTACGTTGCGACTGACTGACTCTTAGTTATTGGCTGTTACAAATTATCATAGTATGTTTTTTTTCAGTAGTAATGAAATACACTTTTAAGGGTCTATTTTTTCTTTGATGGTGGGGAAGGATTTTAAAATCTTTTGGAACAGCTGGAGGTCATCTATAAAATCATTTTTCCTGGTAGGCATATTTATCTACTAATGTTGTTAGGATCTCTACTACATGACTCAAAAGTTATCTTAGCTTTGTAGGAAATTATTCATTCGTAAAATTAAATCGGCACATCATGTCACTAGATAAACAATTGATTAATTAATTGTCAGTTTTTCTGAGTTACTCTAAGGGATTCTTGTTAGACGTATTAGAAAAATAAATATTGATATACTTTAAGAGGTCAACTGGTCTTATTTCAAATTAGTTCCAATATTTCATCATTTTAATGCTGTTCGCTTTCTTATTACATTTGGAATAATTTCTAAGTGTGATAGTCTTATTCTTGACAATTACTTATACAGTTAGCTAGTTAACTGATCACTAAGGCCAAGGTAATCATGCTGTGAATATTCAATTCAATGTGTAATTAAAACAAATAAAGATTTCATTTATATGGTCTACTTGAAGCTAATTCAGTATGATGAAAAGAAATTAAAAGTTCTTAATTCAGTTAACTGAAAAAAGGGTTACCAAGTTGTGTGCATTGCTGTTATGTATCAACATATACTTACAGTGTCCTTTAGAAATAGGATAAGAAAAAAATTTGAAGTGGTATTACATCATCCAAAGTGGATAAATTCAATAAGATAAATGTTTATTTGATGTTTTATTAAGTAGATTATAAAATTTTGTGGGTAATGATGTTTATGGGATTTATTTAATCATTATTATTCACGTATGCAGAGAGAGTTCTCATTATGAACTGATGTCATTTAGTGTAAAACCAAGGAGCCCGATAGACAGTTGGTTCGATATAATCATTCTGAGATGAGAACACACTTCATATTGTGAACTGGTTTCTACAAAATCTCCCCAAACCAAATTAATAGCTGTGTGTTTGTTAAAATTTCCGCAACAATTCTTGTAGGAGGTCTTAACTGATAAAATGAATGCATATCAGGAGTAAAACTCATCACCAATGACTTCGTGAATGACAATCACTTGTTATAAACTAGGGTTGATAAATATGGATCACTCTCTTGAATAGTAATATGGACCTGAGACGACCTGAATGTCTTCGCTTTTGTTCTCGATGGATTCATTGCGCTCACTAATGAAGAGTTTCAAGCTAGAATAAAACATATATCTAGTGTTTTTACTGTTTTTTTTTGAAAGAATAATTTGTAGTCAGCATCAGTAGTCCCTCTTGAGAACTCTATCTCTACATACACTAGACCGATTTCCACAACTATCCTTTTTATCTGAATTATTAATTAAATGATTGGTTTTCAACGTCTTTTTATTTTTTTCATGTCAATGTCGATTCGGATGACTATGATAGCTCAGTGAAAATGAAGCGTTAGAACTGGGAAGTTATTTGTTACATCTAGCTGTAACAAGTGAAAAATCATTTAAATATCCAATCGATAGTAAGTTAATAATTTTTTTTCTTTTTCGGACGTGAAGGTTAGTTTCTTTTAAATTAAACATAGATTCTAACTTGAAGTGGAACCTATGACTTAATGGTTAAGGTGTTCAGCTTTCAATCACTAAGTAAGTCCTCACTCCACCTAGCTCGGTCCCGAGCAACCTGGTGCAGTAGCAACTAGCTGTCATCACACCCAGAGTGTGGTTCATATTCAAGTACCTAGTGAGGAAGTTAAATATTGAATCTTATTTTAACTTGATATAATATACTGTAAAATTAATAAAATATTATTGACAGTTAGAAAATTTATACTGTTCTTGTTCTGGCATGGTAATACTATCTTAATCGATATAAAGCCTGGGACAGATATACTCATCAGGTTATTCTAGCAAAGGCGAACTATACTTCTAAGAAACCTGTGATTTGATACTTACACCCTACATATTTCTTTTATAGGCTGTTTTGTTTCACAACTATATTGTAATTCAGGGTGAACTGTTGTGCAATATAGTCATCCCAGACGGACATCTCGTACTCGCCACATGTGACACAAGTCGGTAAAAGCTAGGGGTGTTTTACGAATCCATGTCGAGATTTAGTCAGTCACTAATCCTCCAGAGTTTATGAGATTTCAAAAATGAGTGAATCTACCAATACAATCAGATACTGCATTCCCTAAAATCAATTTAAAGGTTGATGAAGACCAGTCCTGAAACAGTATTTTGCATTCAGAAGGGGAGAAGGACATCCTAAACATGCTCGCATCGTTGCTTAAGGCTATCAGAAGACTGAATTTTGTCAGCGTCTTCATCAAACAAAACTATATCATCTTCATATTTTAAGTCAGTAATCTGATTTGGTAGGCGATCAATCCCTGAAAAGTCAGAGGAAGAAATCGGTATTTCTAGAGATTTTTCCATATAAATGGATAAGTAGGGGGTGTTGATGAACAACACTTGGTGCCTTCAGTTCTGATAACAGCTCACTATGGGTATTTTCAGACAGCTCGTGCTGTATGGTCACATTACCAAGTATCGTCTATTCGACGCCTTATATCCCAATATACTTTGAAACTTGATTAATATTCTTAGAACCAGTCACTTTTATCCCTATTGTAATCAATTAATAAAAACCCGATTTTTCCCAATTTAGATTTACTTCTGTTTTTATTTATTTAAACGAAACATTTTAGCAATTTATTTACTCCGTACAATCTACTTCTTAGCTGTACGATTTTCAAGTCTTGCTGACTTAGCCAAATGTTATGATATTGAAACATTTCTTCATGAACTCATTAATGAAAGACACTATTCAAATCATAATGTAATCCCGTCGTCATCATCATTAAACTCGTCAACTGTCCCGAACGAACACAAACACCAGGTTGACTACAAAAATAGTTTATCTCAGACCACAAGAACAAGCAGTCTTTTTCAACCTTCAAAGAATATAGAAAGTGGTATTGAATCAGATTCATTGACAACTTTCGACTATTTGATCGCTTCAAAACTGCTGAATGTTTTATCAAGTAATTGTGAATCAGATGAGATATAACAAAGCGCCATTAATTTGTGAATAATTTCAAAGTGAATATACTATTCTTGTTAATTTTAGGAAGTGACTTTTTATTTTTACCGTTTTCAATACCATCAGCGCTATCATCATCATTACTGTCATTGTTATTACTTGAAAGTGATTTACGTTTATTTTTTCACCGATTAATTTTCAATATTCATTCTAATATATTTTATTCATCCTACTTTCTGTTTCCTTCTCAACGTCAATTAATTAAGTTCTCGTCCAATATTCATATTGCTCGTTTTCTTTAATGACATTGAAAATATTATATTTTACTATTGAAAATAGACGGCTTTTTTCTTACATTTCTTCTTATTTACCATTTCATTTAATTGTTTCATTTTGTGTGTGTATGTGTGGTTTTATCATTAGTTGTATTAGTGATATAGATGCCGAATCGTTGTCGACATAATACAGTTGACTTGGTCTTGTTCACGAAATATTTGGTTTATATGAGTATAAGTGGAGACACTGTACAGCTGTTTTGTCGTAGTATATTAATCTTCAGCAGTATACATCCATGACCCCACTTCCGGTAATAGAAGCTAGAACATTCAGATCTCGCGATGAGGGATTAAACTTTTATTTACCAAGTCGACATACAGTGGTTTGTATTCTTAGTTTCGATGCCTGGTGTGGTTGTAGGTGTATACTGCTGACGATTTCACAATATTTCAGTTTTTTAGAATCAACACTAAATATATAGAGATATGGGGTTTAAAATTGTATGTATGTATGTATGGACGTATGATGAATACGATGTTAGAATAGCTATCCGCCATAATAATATTTGTAAAGACACCTGATATCGATGACTTTCAGGGACTTATTAGCCAATCAAAAAGCGTCAGTTATGTAAGAATTGTTTAATAAACAGTTTTCACATAATGGATGAACATTCACATTATTGGATTATTTATGATAGTAAACGGGAAAGGGTTGGGATTTGACATTCGAAGTCGGAGTAGAGCTATGAGACTGGGTTAGGAGTGCTAGAGTTAGGTGTATAGGTTAGGATGGAAGAATACTTTTTATCTACAAAAGTATCCTTTACTACTCATTGAGTCACATCAAACGCTCACTGTATTAGTATCAGTTATTCTTTATAACGTAATTTAAGCACCATCTTGTATTTACTGTGTGGTTGGATAAAAGATATTTTATTATTCTGAGAACTAGATATTGGCAGTTTTCAATCAGTTGTTAGCCCCCTGCCATTAGTTTTTGAATTTTGCTCAACAACTCAATGCCATCTTAAATCTGGTTGACTCGTGAATATAGCATATTTTTGTCAAAATATCTTCAGCAAAGCATAGTAATAATTAATAGATTAATCTTAATTCAAGTTGTTAGATATCAATATAACTGTATCCTAAAAGGAACGAATGTTGCTTACAACAGAATATACAAAACAAATGGATACACTGTTTCAAAACTTTGCTCTTGTTTCAAGTACCCTAACGTTACAAACTTTAATATTACTATAAATTCAACTTTACATACTTTAATTCTAACTTTAAGAATGTAATTTTATGAGTTAGTATTATTTAAATTAGTACATACAGTATTGATGATACCTAAGGAATATGTAAAATACACAGTATTAATCCTTTCTTAGATATTCTACATCGTAAACAATACATTTACAACCACTTTATATTTATGACTAACTTTCAATGTCTAATTTCTTGCCATCTTAAACATATTTATCGTAAGAGATGTTATGCTATAAGTTGTTTTATGTAAGGTTAACATTTTAAATCTGATTGATAAATCCAAGTGACTAGAATTTATCAATTTGGGGTTGTGCAGTTTGTTGAATTATATTGAAATCATGAACCGAACTAAGCTAGACCACTGTTGAAAACCTGGAAGCGCTGAACATCCGTTTCGTCCTAGCAGTGCACACCCACGAATTCATATACGGGGATCGGAAATAGGATCAGTCACGCTCGCGAACTCGAGGCCACTGAGTAGAGATCCAACGGTGTCTATATCTAACTTACTGATATAGAATGCCTAGTGATTCTAGAACAAGTGAAATGACCTAATTTTTCATTTTACAAACCCGGATATATATTATATTGCTGCATGGTCAGACGGATCATATGAGTTCATAATGTTAAATAGATCATGTAAATACAAGGGCCTATTGTAAATGAGTTTTTTAGGCGTCTGGACTAAATCGTTCCTCATGTAACTCGTCATATAATAGGTATGATTTCTACATACACCCACTCTTAACAACATAGCCACCCACTTCCCTTAGTCCTGTTTCTCTTGCATAGTAAGGCATTTAGGAAACGTTAAGTCGCTAAATCAGATTATAGGAGAAAATGTATGAATCAATACGAGGATTTCCGTATTGTGCTCAGATGGTCCGTATCAGAGGACGCCATACCACTACATCGCCCACCAACATAGTCGGTGTTTGGACAAACTTAACATGTATCCCAACCAACGCAGTTGATGACGATTTACTACCTCGTCAATCCGTCTGTCATATTCACCCAAAATACACGAGCGATGCTTTGAAGACGCTTGTGATAGAATACTAATAACCTAAGAATAACCCCTATTCTCGATAGCCATGTTTCATGCTCATGGAGTACAACAAAGCGGACTGTTGTCCATCCTTTTACTGCAGACGCATAACTCGCATGCTCCACGACAGACGCGAATTGCCAAAGGTCAATCAAGCTTCATAAATCCGTGCCGAGATTTCGTCAAGGCCGATAAGACTTTCAAGAAAGCTGATAAGAGAAATTCTAATTGTATTCTTAAATATCTGGGTTATATCTGTTGCCATAAATAATCTAGTATACTGAAGTAAACCCTGATATATAAATGTTTCTTACAATGTTCTGCTCTTGTCTGCAATATTTGTCTCAGGATGTACGCATGAAAAATCCCGTATAAAAGACAAAGTAGACAAGTTAATTAGAATGTGTAATTGTTCTAGATTTCATGACAGATTCCGTGTGAAATTGGTTAGCTATATTAAATAATCACCCTATACTTAGAATTAGTTTATTATTTTAAGGAACAAGTTCTGTTGAACAGTTTTTGAGCATAATAAAACATTCATTCACTGTGCAACTGTTAACAACACGTTATTAAAGCTTAAATCTGATTTATTAATAAATAAAATGTATTATTTTTAAGCAACATATCATTCAGGCGGATTGTTTTGTTTGTTTGTAAGGTCATCAACTTCTTGCTAATTTTTCTAGCTGATGTGCTCTTCAACATTTTCTTTGTTCAGTAAGTGTGTTGTATCTAATAGTTTTAAACATATTCTCATTCGGTGAATGTTGAATGTAATTTTCATTTCAAGCGTCTAGGATTATTAGTACCTGTTTGGTATGAACATGGAAATTTCGTGCATGACAACATACCGTATATATAGATATTTAGTGATAAATTACACTCTAATACACGAAATCAACATAAGACAATAACTGAAAGTTCTAAATACAACACGCTTATTCAACGTTGAAAACGCTACGGATAAACTCGGCCAGTTACTTTTTTTCCGTTTCTATATATTAAAATTTACACATAAAATTGAATATTATTTCACATTTCACAAACAACAACCAAAAAAATATATGAATACAAGAAAAACAAATAAAATGATTGTGAACATTTAAATAGAACACAAAAATAGTTATTGACATTTCACTTTCATTCAGTATTGGGTTAAGACAAGAGGATAATGAATGATGATGATGAGGATGACGAAATGTTTGTGTGTGTGTGTGCGCTTGATTTTGTAATGCTAAAAAATAATATTGCAAAAAAAAATCAGCCATAATGATCAGATCATTTGTGATGTTTGTGACAGTGTTCCCTCTCTCTCTCTCTCTATTTTTAGAAGTTATCAAAAATCTTATATGAACTAGTTGATTAGTGATAGAAACAAAATGACATTTATTGAACGCCTGAATATATGATTCATTAATAGTGTTTGAATTATGTTCCATATTTAAACATTATTGTGAAATGGTTACATCCAAATTAAAACAGTTCACAACATACATAAATAGATGGAAACATTTTATGTAAGTAAATAATCTATCTAGGAAATTCATAACCGTTACATATTCTTAATTTATATTTGAAAATGTAAGTATTTGTTTACATAGTTAATAAATTGAACATGAACAATAACAACAATAGAATTTATGTAATTGAACAAAATAATCAACATTACACACATGTAGTAGACATGTAATTTAGAATATAATAGGAATGAATAATGTTATTAACTACAAGCACATCCTAAAACAATTAAATTATGTAAAGTATGCATTTGTAATTCACGATTTGAATCCAAGTATAAAACAGACATACTAGTTAATTGAGTTGGATGACAACAAGATTGTACATCATCACGTTGAATATTTCCAAATTGTGATAAATTCTTACGTAATAATAAATCCATAACATCATAGTGTAGACTTTTTGTTGATGTGACTGGAAAATGAAAAAAAAAGACGTATGTCTGTGATAAAAAATCAAATAATAAATTAGACACAAGAATTACTTTTTAATTTTTTTCGAAAATAAAATAATTCATATCAGAAGGGTTTTGTGGATATTATAGTAATTTCAATGGTTGAGATCATGAGTCAATTGAAGCTAGACCGCTATGGAAGACTGTAGGTCCTGGGTTCGAATCTCGCGAGGCGTGATCGTGGGTGCGCACTGCCGAGGAGTTTCACAATAGGACGAAACGGCCGTCCAGTGCTTCCAGGTTTTCTATGGTAGTCTAGCTTCGATTGACTCATGATCTTAACGATTGAAATAAAATAATTGTTTAGACTAAACAAATTGTTAGGTATAGGACTATTGGTTGACAATAAGCAGTAATGCAATAATCATTAATGTGTATCCCTACTATTCCCAAAAATCTGTTTGAAAGACTGACAACAATCAGATTTTATCTTTTCATTCATTGAAAGTAAGAAGACTACTGTTCGAATATTGGAGACTATGCTCTTATAGTCTCTTAGAAAATTCGAGTACTTTTCCTGTAAAATAGAATCATGCTACAAAGCATTAGATGTACTTAACAAAGAACATCTTAATAAATTCAGCACATAAATCTCTTCGTATCATTGATGGTAAATCGATCAATTAACTAATAATACAAATTGCTAATATCCTCAATATTTATCTATTCGAGTAATTGAGAGAAAGTGGGTCTGGAAATTTTATCTGGAACTACGATTAAAGATGATTATGTTTAGAGACGTCTTAGTATTTTTAGAAGATCATTACCCTTAAAAAAGTTATTGGCTATCGGTATCCAGGAGCTTGATGTTTGGAGTGGTAAATACATAGTTTACATCTCAGTGTGAACCTTGAGGTCGATATACTGGTAGGCCCTGTTGATGAAATACAAATAGACTAAAACGCACGTTTAAAGTTACGCTACGGATCTAAGAAAAATCTTGTTTAACATTAATACACAACTGAAAATTATAGTAACCTACCTTTGCAGGATCCTCGACAATAATTCGGTTCAAAACTTTTCGGGTGTATAATCCAATTATCCCAACCAATATCAGAAAATTTAACAGATAATGGTTGTGTACAACAACTATAATGGTGTCCATTAGAACGACATACATTGTATATTGTCTCGTCTCCTTTAGTTAATGAACGCCTCTGTCTTTTTAAACGTGGACGATATTTAATTTCCATAACAACCTTAGGAATATATAAAAATATTAAAATAGAAATATAACTCTTGATAAATCATTTATGTAATTGAAAATGAATATGAGGTTCTTGGTATAAGAGATTGTAGGATTTTCACAGTTTAAACCACGAGATAATTTTAGCCAGACCACCATTAAAGTAACTGTGGTTGCCAATGTAGTATCATAGAGGTTAAGCTTATATGATCGAGACGAAAGGTCCTGTTTTCGATCCTCGGACCCAGGGTTGTGAATGAGCACTGCTGAGTAGTCCCAAACTAGGACGAAACGGCCACTCTGTGCTTCCAGGTTTCCAACTGTGGTTTATCTAAAATCATTTCGTGGTTCAAACTATGGTTAAACATAATGATGGCTAAAGGGGGTATATACTTTTTGGGTTCAATGTAGCTCCAAACGATGAGGGACTTATTTCAGTTTATGCAGAAGCAATCATCATATTGTATCAATTTACTCGAAAAATTTTAATTTCTGAGATCCTATAAATATGCAATATGCAAAATATTATAGAATAAGATCAATCTGTAGTTAGGATAACTTAAGTTCGTTCCACAAAACACTACATTTACTCCTATTTAAGACACAGTAAACTCTTCAAGTTCTCCCATAAATTATGGATATATATTCGTGAAAGATTTTTAAGTGGAATATTTATTGATATCGGTTTTCTTTTTACGACCACCATTTAAGCGGTTTTATTTTGTGACAAAAACTATGGTGGTGTCAAATAACTAAAAGGGGATCGAACTAGTTAACACACTAATACAATTTTTAGAAAAACGACAATCATTGTAAAGTGCAAACCTGTTTTCAGGTTTTCCATGGTGGTCTACCTTCGATTGACTCTTGAATTCAACTATTAAAATTCCTATAATATCCACAGAACCCCTCGCTGATTATAAAATACAGAAATGTTAAGGTTATCATAACATCTGCTGAAATTCAGAAGCCTAATACTGGTCAATTTCGAAGCCCTTATCAATAGCATTCTTCCAATTTATTCTAATAATCCAACGTAAAGATTAAAAAAAAATACGATGGTAGCTCACTTATATTCCCAACCATCTTACGATTTTATTGATTAAATGCAGTCAACACTAAGAATCCTAAAAACAGGACATTTATAAGTTTAGAAAACAAATATGAATGGTAACTAGTAGTGGAATCCAGAACATGCGTTTCGTCCTATTTGAAACTCTTCATCTGAATGTACCTGTATCTCAGAGTTAATGTTCACTCTGAGACTTAGGATGCATATATACCAATAAGAGACTGATCAATTACTGTTCTAAACATCAATCCAAAACTTCAAATAAACGATATAAAAATGATTCACTTGGTGTTGTTTTACTTCTATCATCCCATTGTTATTTAGGACTACAATTGATCAGTCTCATGTTAGCATATGTACATCCTGTGTGGGTTGCATCGATATCACCCTAAGTCACAAGCTTTTTAAGCACAAATGAATAGTGGCTAGCAATGGAATCCAGTTTGACGCACGTTTCGTCCTATCTAGAACTCGTCAGCTGGATGTACCTGTATCGCAGAGTTGATGTTCACTCTTGAACTCAAACCCAATAACGTTCGCTTCAAATGTCATCGTGTTATCCACTTAGCTACTAAGTCCCAAAAAACAAATGAATTTGTAGGTAATATTTATTACATTTGTCTTTTTTTGCTAAATATTTATGTAATTTTACTAGAATGTATAACTGTTAACTATATGATCTATTCAATAGTGAAACATTTATCAACCTTTTTTTCTCTAATATACAATTCATTAATATTATTATCAGATGGGTTTTGTGGAGATTGTAGTAATTTCAATGGTTAAGATCATGAGTCAGACAACTATGGAAAACCTGGAAGCACTGGACGGCCGTTTCGTCCTATTAAGGGACTCCTCAGCAGTGCGCATTCGCGACCTCGCCGCTCGCAAGGTTCGAACCCAGGACCTACTGGTTTCGCGCACGAGCACTTAACCACTAGGCCACTGAGTCGGCATCCAACAGTGTTAATGTCTAACTTCAACCAATCCACGAAATTGAGCGACACATTCACCATTGTCTTCAGTGAGTTACTATCACACAACAAACGTGGTTGAATATTAGATTTAACATTAGATATCTTTTAATTACCTTTTTTGGATCAATAATATTTTGTTCATTATCACAATCATTACACATAATCATTAAATATCTTATTAATGGTTTATAGGCTTGAATTTTTATATGATTATATTTTAACCAATGAATCATACGATTTGTAATATTCAATGTTATCATAGATGTCAAATTATTTTGAGGTATCATAGTTTTAGCTATTTCTGGTTTAATTAATGTAAACATTCTTTGGAAATCATTAATAGATAATCTATATGGATCATTGAATAAATTGGATGATTGAAATTTTTGATCATTTTCCATTTCATTATAATCATTGATATCAGTTTGTGGTAACGATTCAGCTGTTAAATCATCATTATCGTTATTATTATTATCATTAATATCATTAAACCATAAAAAATTTGGTTTAAATAATGTAGGATGAATTTCCCATAAAGTGAATATTGAATTTGGACGAATTTCACCGTTGATCTATAAAAAAAACGAATAAAAGATAATTTAAAATATTAGTCCCTTTGATAAATTTCGATAGTGTAATGAGAGGACAACTTCGCCTGGAGTACCTCCGGGGGCTACTACTGGTCCCAAGCCCGGATAAAGGAGGAAGGTTGGGCATGGGGTTAGCTAATGAAAGGACGTAGTTTATCAAAATTATGTGATATATAGTTGAGCAATACATTTTGAACAATCTGATCACACATTGCATACTTGTTAAGAACATTGATATATGAAAATTAAAACGTCAACTAGACAATTAAGGGGGGGAGTGAACGCATACCACAATGGTTGCTGAAACAAATAGATTCCAATGGTCAAATAAGATCACAGGATAGATGGACATCCTCCTGCTTTGTGAAGCATTTGATTGAGACTGGTTATAAGGTTGATATCAAATAAGCATTTATAGTGGTGTTATATGAAAGCCTTCATGGACGTATACTTAAGTTCATTAAAGCATTGGCTATACGGAAATTAAAACCCCCTTTATGTATTCAAAAACAAGTTATCCAGAGTGATAATCACATTTGTTTTTGTGTACTTTATTATTTTTTCCTTTGTTGTGACCTACCCTTAACCTGTCTAGTTGACCTTTTAAATTTCATATACAAATGTTCTTAACAAGTATATATGTGTGATAAGATTGTTCGAAATGCATTGCTCAAATACATATCACATAATTCTGATAAACTTCGTCTTCTCATTGCATTATTAAAAGATATTTATTTCAGAAGTTATACCTATTTTGAGAATAAATCGACCTATAACTCTTTCAGAGTTACTGTCAGATTTCAAGTTCGGATAACGGAGGAGAGTTGGGCATGTGATCCACAACTTCATCCTATAGAAAATAACCTTTCTAAAAAAGAAAAAAACTTTAACCAGAATAAACAAAGTAATTTTAAATATAGTGATATTTATTTTTGAAGAATTCAGTTTGAATATTATATCCACTGTTATATAAGATATTAGTTTGGGTTGACTGATATTATCTAACATAGAATGTATCGTGGTGTGAATCTGATTGGTCGGTAATAAAATTCCTCTTCAGTATTCATGCAAATTAGCGCTAACGAATAAAATTTCTCGGTAATTTTTTAAAGAAAGCTGGTATTCCCAAAAAGATTGATTCATTCTTCACTAAATTATATAATTTATGAGCTATGTCATTGAACTAATCATGCCAAACCTTTATTAAAATAAAATGAACCATTGATTATTGTGAAATATCAATCTGGAAGCACTGGACAGCTGTTTTGTCCTAATATGGGACTCCTTGGCAGTGCGCATCCAATACCCCGCTCGCGGGATTCGAACTCAGGACCTTCGGTCTCGCGCACGAACGCTTAACCTCTAGACCACTGAGCCGGCCGGCATCCAACGATGTTGATGTCCAACTCCAACCAATCCACAACCATCTTCCATTGCACCGAGGTTGATATCTGTCTCTACCTGACATAGATTAGCTCCATTATTTATGGCTTCTCACTAGAACTCCGAGAATTCCCTCACGAATCTAGTCACTGAATTTTATTAAAATGCAAGGCTTCTTGTAATTTTCAACTAAAATGTCCAGTCGTAGAACAACACTGCTACTTTTTAATAACTATGAGTTTGTGGGTTGTTTAATTATTGATTATAGTCATAAATAAACCATAAAATATAAATTTTAAAAAAATTGATGTCAAAATCGAAGGTGAATTATGTAAGGTGTGCATGAAAATGTGTTACTTACTACTTATAAGTAGCTAGAGTATTTGCACCAAATTTCTGTCAAAATGAAAAATGAATGATCATTTGTACCTTACTGACGTTACCTCTTCATTTTTATCATCATAAATGTATGTCAGATATTCCATACTGATATTCGTACAGAAGAACCCGAGTTTTTTTAAGACCATAATAAGAAGCCTGAGTCAAAGAGTTTGACTTACTATAGTCGGTATTAAAATACAGCCTATATCAAGAGTAATTAATAGAAGTACTTATCCAAAGAATTCAAATTTGATACCAGGAAAAGTTCAGATTATAATGAGCATGCAACTGTCAATAATTAGAATGAAATCATTTCACACGAAACTAGCATAAATTGATGGATTAATTAGTAATAATATTCATAGTAGTACATCACAGTTAGTAAAAGCCTGAATTATCCCGTTAGTACTATTATTGAGGAATGATACACAGAATAATCCAAAACATTACTAGTAATGATACGGGCAACTTAAATAAGTTGGTGCCTATCATGATTCAAAAGCTCAGCGGATAACATATTGGGTGTTTAGACTGAAAGCTATGAACTCAATGTGAGTATCAATGCAACTAAGACTTAAATCTCTCCCTATATTCTACTGCTAGCCACAGATTGTCTACCCAGAGAAATTATATTGTTCTTAAAAACGATGATTTCAGGTTCATCTGTTTGTAATTGAGCTTGGACTATAAAATTTATTTGCAAATAAGCCTGATATCGTTTTATAAAGTAAAACGGTGTCAGATTATGTCATCAAACACATTAATACTAGGGAAAAACCTAATTAGTACATTAGGGGAGGTTCGAACCCCGAGTTTGGAGTTTTATTCATAAAGCTTCCATTGTCCTTCTAGACAAAGTTATCAGTAAAAACTTCACACAGAAGTGAGCCATTCGAATTTCTTTACATACAACCAATAACGTGTTCTATTGACGTTGATCTTGAATGGTTGTTGTTGATTCATGTCTGATCACTTATTGCATAGTTGTTTCATTTGCACTTCCATTTAAAATTATTTTCGACCTTATAGTTGTCGGTGATTTTTCCAGTTGTTTGGTGAAATTGGATCAATGTCCATGCGTTTATTTGTTGCTGATTGACTTGAGTGCCATGTTCCAAAGAAGTCTTTGGTCTTCTAATTATTCCCTCTTTCCAATACTTTTACATTACTTCAATCGAATATGCATCTTAAATTGTTTACATGCATTGATATAACCGGGAATGTATCCCGGCTTTTGAAATGCTATAAATATCTACTATTGCCTTAATGAGTCTAAAACCATGTAGTGCATAGCCTATCAATTTCAACTGTTATCCATCTTGACAGTTCAGCATTGATATTTTAAAATAGAGTACATCAGTTTGATATTTCGAAATCTTTAAATGAGACCAGTAGATCATCGAATACTAGTGTGTGGCCGTAAATGCAAACACCTCAAGCCCGATTTATGTGCCGAAAAACAATCTTTTGTTACCACCATAATATTGTCTTCATTTTATGACATCTTTTCTCTAACTCTTCTCCATTATTTTGAATCTATTATTTTCAGTATGTGAATATGCGGAGATCGTAGTATTATAACAATTGAATTCACGAGTCGACCTAAGCTAGACCATCAGTGAAAATCTGAAGGTACAGAAAGATCATTTCTTCCCAGTATGGGACTCTACTGCCCCACATTCGGGACTCGAATCCAGGATTTTTTGTCTCGCGCGTGAACGCTTAACCTCTAAACCACTGAGCTAGTATTCAAGGGTGTTAATGTTTAACTTCAATCCATCCAGGACCTTGCGCAACCGTTCATCCATTATTTGAGGTGGATAACTGTTTCCAGCCTACACGGATTGGACTCTTATAAGCAAAGATGGATAGTGGCTAGCAGTGGAATCCAGGATGCGCGTTTCGTCCTGTTTGGGACTCGTCAGCTGGATGTACCTGCATCTCAGAGTTGATGTTCACTCTGGGACTGGAACTCAGTACCGTTCGCTTCAAACGCCATCGCGTTATCCACTATCCATCTTTGCTTATAATGCTTGTAAATTTAGGCAATATCGAGGCATACGCACAGTATGCACATATGCCAATAAGAGACTGATCAATTTCAGTCCAAAAAAAACATCAATGGGAAAATTCAAGTAAAACAATATCAAGTGAATACATCTTATTGTCATAAGCTTTTTGTGTGAGACTATAATTTATGAACGAACCAATCGGTTATAAGATAACAGATCTTGGATTTTGGCGCAAAATTCATTCATACATTTAATTAATTAATGTTTTGGCATTATAGCTGATGCCATTTCGTGGTGAAAACCCTAAATCTAGTTCCTAACTCTAATCATCAACTGTAAATCATAATTCTAATCCCTTACACTGTTTCATATCATTCATTTAGTCCTAGTTATTAGGTAGACACTCTCAAGGTCACCTTAACACTGCTCATAGGTCGTCCATAAATTATAATCTCACCATAATACGGATTGTATAGAAAAAAAACAGTTGTTGGCTGGAATCTCAATAGAATACAATAAATTGTTTAATTATTCTACTCATATATTTGTCTTTATACACTTTAATATAATAAATGGAATTGTATGTTTATAATTATCTCAACTGTCGTTAACTAACTATTTCATTCTTAGAAATACTTTATATATATATATATATATTTACAATGACCAGCATAAACTATTAACATTCCTTTAAGTGTACTACTACTATTCACAATATAAAAATATCAACAGATCCATTAAAGGTCACTTTCATTTGGGTTAATTCAAATATGGCAATCATGTAAAGAGAAAAACAAACAAACAAACAAATGAAATATTACTCTACTGTCAAAAATACCCATGATAATAATAGTAACAATAATAACATTCCTCCTCAATGTTCTTTCTTGTTGTTATTGATCTTTTTTTTACACATTTTCTTCTTACTTCTGACCTCTCTCTCTTTCTCTCTCTCAATTAATTTTTGCAATAATAATTGGTTTCTGTTATTGAAAGTTTTATTTTGCCTTCAATCTCTTACAGATTTTATTGATATAAATAAAGAAAAACAAAACATTTAACTATTTAGAGAAAAAAAGTAAACTAAAAAAAATAAAGAAACAAATGTTCACTTTTTGTGTACTTTTTATTCAATATACTTAGTTATTTATTTATTTTATCAGTTTAGGTGTTGTGGAGATTGTTAAGTTTTTGCTTCAAATCATG